TGAAATTGAAAAACATCAACCAAAATGGCCGTTTCATCATCAGAAATGCCATTTTTTTCATTTTTTTGATGTAAAATTCATGAAAGTCATGGCATTTTTTTCATTTTTTTATTCCCTGGGCACCTATCTGAAACAAAGTCTAGGTTTCTGGTAGCTTCGATATGCATGATCAAAATGTATTTTAAGTAAGCGATTCTATGAGAGATGCTCCCGCAACTCGGGTATGCGTGCGAGTGGGTGAAGAAGTGACACACATTCACAGTCACCCATCATTTGATGGAATCAGTAGAACGGCTGGTCTGCAGAACTTCATTGCCCGGTTGACGCCATCTACCGGCTGGTCGCAAACCATTTCTGCAGACCGACCGGTCCGCCGGTTCCATCTGTGCCACTCACGGTCACATTCGCACCCACACTCACATTCGTACCCATACCCACGCCTATAGTTCTGTCGAGGGAGCAAGTGTCTCGGGAGCAACTGTTGCGAGAGCATCTGTCTGAGAAGCAACAGTCGTGCTATCAAAGTAAACAACTTGATTTTGTCCTTTGAGTTTTTTTGCAATGTTGAAGTAGTCGACATAGGTTCTCTGTCGAACGAAATAAAATACTTGAAATCATGAATGTTATTATAAGCTGTAATAATGTCTTCTGTTTATTTCTATTTCTCGCTGATTAGATTATGAGAGAAAAGGATAAACAAAAAAGTCATCACTCCACTATTGCTTGCTGAGTTGTGTGCAACATTGTATTTCCAATTTCATTATATTTTTTCTCGTTGCAGCCGACATATAAATCGTTCTCTCGTCGTTCAAAATTTTAACGTATCATAGCATCGGATTTGAAATATTTTTTATGAATTCTGTTGCTCATTTTAATGTGATCAATGTAGTTCCGGATCAGGAACTATTAGCATTGAGTAATTGGGATATGAATCCAGTTCTATCGTCAACCGCGAGTAAAAATACAGCGGGAGAAAAGTATAGTAATTGGGATACAAATCGAATTTCATCGACTATCGTGACGGATACAAATAAACAGCATGATCCGTATAGCAACTGGAATATAAATCGAGTGACATCGGCGACCATAACACATACAAATAGACACCATGATCAGTATAGCAATTGTGATCTTAATCGAGTTCCGTCGGCGACGGTGACTAGAGCAAAATATGCAGCCATCAATGAAGGAAATGGAATATCGAACAAGTAATTCTCTATTCATCTCACTTGGTCTGTTATTATTACATATTGTCTATTTCTCTTTTGATTGAATTCAGAGTAAAATTTGGACCTCATGCCTACAAGGTACTATTGGTGAGCTTGGTTGTTGGAGTTCTGGTTGCTGGTATTCCACTTTCGATAACGCTCACTTTTTATATACAAGATCAGTCGAAAACAAGTATTTATAAATGATTTGTTTGGTGTTTTTCTCTATGTGTAGGACCTTGACGAGTTGGAAGAACTGTAATGCATTCCAATCACTGGCACATTGAAGTGTACTCAATCCTCTAGTTTCTTTTTCTCAGCATGTCTGAAGATAGATCACATAACAATACAACGAAATTACTTTCGTTCAAATTTTATATTCTTATTGGTTGATTCAGATATGGTTGTAGTAGCAATTCTTTGCACAATAATGATTAAGTCATTATTGGGCAAGATATCAATAGTTAGATAAATGGAAGACGCTAACTGTGCAATCATAATTTCTGGTATTTACGCTGTAAATCTCAATTAATTTAGTCAATAGATATTGAGACTATTACCATATTACCAAAAATGAGTAGTATTTTATCGATAAAGATAATTCATACGGCTGAAAATCATTCTTAACTTTTGTGGTCATGTTCAAGGAACTTGATCACAATGTTCACTCAGAAAGAAAACTGTGAGCAAGTTTTCTGTAACAAATTTATGTCTTTAAAAAGAAATTTCATGGAATAACCCGTGCTCTTTTCTCATTCGATGGACTTTGTTATCACTGTGGGCAACTAGTTGGGTATGAGTGAGGATCTTTTGTGTACTCTCATCTACACTCTTATCTACATCCTCATTCACATTTTCATCTACACCTAAGTACCCCCGATGCTCCTTCCGAATAATTTAAGACCAATATATCATGCAACCAATTGTCTTGCAATGAATTGTCCATGCAACGAAAGATCCTAACACGTTGTTGCCATTGAATCTGTAATACTATCATCAAATAGGAATCTGGTTTGTGATGTTTCACTATTCAGATCTACTGATAGACCATACGCATGTCTTGTATGTGTGCGACCATTGATTGCCATACTGATCAAACTTATTGAGTGGACTATTGCCATTTGTGCATGAAGAATAAGCCTTTTCTCTGGAATTTATCATAACAAGAGAATTTCTGTATTTCTAATAAAAAGATATCCTGTTGAGTCTTGAAATAGGACTTTAGGTATGATTTTAGGTTCGAAGCATATGAACATTAGATAGAAGTAAAGCTTGTGTACTATATACAAACAGCGAGTAAGTTGTTCAATATAAGACAGGATTTCAGTAAACCTAAACTTTCAAGTTTCATAAGTCTTTACACAATCTATCATGATCACCATCGAGAAAATGTTCAATTTACACGTGTTATTTTAAATATCTTCTTATGTCTAATTTCTATTATTATTACTATAGGCATAACGACAATTACATCAACGACCACTACTACAGATACTACTACAACTACAACTACTACAACTGCATCAACTACTACGACTACAACTACATCAACTACTACGACTACAACTACATCAACTACTACGACTACAACTACATCAACTACTACGACTACAACTACATCAACTACTACGACCACAACTACAACAACAACAATCACTACGACTTCTACCACATCAACAACTTACACCAGTAAACATCATGCTTTCAGTTTAATATTAATTCATCTGTAAAATTTTTTATTTTAGCATCTTTAACGACTACAACAACGAGTAGTAAGCTATTTCATTGGTTTTATTTTAATATTAGCTTATTAATGTGCTTATAAAATGTTAGCATCGACTACAACAACACAAGGAATCACACAATCGAGTGCATTTTGGAACTTTGATAACAATGCTCTGGAATCGTTCAATAGTTACGACGGTGTTACATCAGGAAGTCCATCGTACACAACTAGCTTGTTAGGACATGGTGCTGCAATTAGTCTAACATCATCTTCAGCACAGTATGTGTCTGTTTCATCGAAACAAGTACTATTCAATTCTACTAGTTTTACAATTGAAGCATGGATCTATCCGATTAGTTTAACAACATCTGATCATGGAATATTCGGTCAATGTCAAAACACAATAACTAATATGTGTCTTCATTTTGTTTCTCGAAATTTACTATTATATTGCGGTTTCTTTGGTAATGATGTATCAGGAGTGACTACATTAATAATGAACCAATGGAGTCACGTTGCATGTGTTTATGACATAACTACACAAACACAAGAAGTTTGGCTCAATGGTGTACTCGATGGAACACGTACATCATCTCCCTATCAGAGTTCATCAGGAATGTTAACAATTGGAATGACGTACATGCCAATTCCTAATAATTACTATTTTAATGGTTATTTGGATCAAGCGCGATACGAATCGAGAGCAAAAAGTGCTACAGAACTATTATATGTTGCGACATTATTTGTTCACTATTCATTTGACGGTGGTTCTCTTCTTGATCAAGGTCCGAATGGAATCAATGCAACTTCATCAGGTTCCCCAGCAGCTGTCATTGGCCGACTCAATGAAGCACTTCAATTTAGTTCAGGAGCTTATGTTTATGTGAATTATCCATCTTTCTACTTTTTAGGCGTTGCAAATTATTCATTCACAATAGCACTATGGGTTGCACCGACAGGAAGTTATTCAAATGCAACAATTCTCTTCGTGAATGCAACAATAGGATGGTGTGTTAATTTTTTGACGATGACTTCAAGTGGTAATATAATTGCTAACTTATGGAATGGAGGTCCAGTCGCAACAAGAGGTCCTATTCTTCCCTTGAACACGTGGAATCATATTGGATTTACATATAGCTTAACAAATAGTGTTCGCTTGTACATTAATGGTACTATATATTCAACATCAGGTCCTATTTTTTACGTAGCCTCTGGTTCTTTCACAACAGTTTGTCTAGCTGGAAACAAAATCGTTCATAAATATGTTAATGTATAAAAATATTTTATTATGTCATCTATCGGCGAATTTTGATTGCTGAATATTTGAACAGTTCATATTTTGGTCAGTCGTGCTCACCAGGATATGGTGGACCATTTACTGGTGCATTGGATGAATTTTTTCTATATTCACGTGAATTAAGTTCATCCGAAATTTTAACATTGGCCAATCTTTATTAATATTATTCGAAGTACATTTAAAAAACAATCCTTGTTTATTAAAAACACAGTTCAATTTGATTTAATCACGAAATAAACTATTAACTATCCGATTTTTTTTTATTCAAAGTATGACTACTTACTGAACTTTTTTTCTCCTGTAATGAGTTCTGTGCTTTTTTTTATGATAATCAAACTTTTCATAAAAATCTATATAATTAATTTAGTTGAATACTTCATTTCGTAAAAATAAAGAAAACAATTCGTATGTAATATTCAATGTTTAGATTCAAAAAATGATGTGAAATTCGATAGGAAATAGATTGCACAAAATAATTAGATCTTAGTCAATATGAATGAAAATAATTAGGACCGACTCAAAGATCATTTTTGTTTCAATTTGCCAAATTCATAAATGCACAACAAATAACATTTTTCGAACTTAGTGCGTAAGAGTGTGGGTAAAGAAAAAGCCAATGTATCTACACCCACACACACTTTATCGAATGTTTTTCAATCATGTGTTCTCAATTTAGTCTTTGTATGAATTGGGTGTGGGTCATCAATGATAGTTCTCGCAGTATTTCGCGAACTTTTTTGTTCCATTTATTTTTCCAAAATAATATTTTCCCCAAAAGACAAACCCTGGAAGTTGCTACCACAATTTATAAAATCATCCAGTTTTAAATGCGCGCATAAAATATGACGGAAGTTCAACATGTTCCACATTGATAAAAATAAGTTTTGTTCGTTTTCTTTATGGTTGGTGTGACTCTGTTAGTTACGATAAAATTAAATAGCCATTTCGTAGCTCTTCAAAATTTATATTACTCAGGTATATATAAATGTTCTTTGAATCCTAGTATGCTGCATATAATACTCTTCTTTTTCTACATACGAAAATTAAAGAACACTAAAGCAAACTTCTTTTGTTTCATTTCAAAGTAAAACGGATAGGCCATGATACTTCGCACTTTCGAACTCGAATATATTCTTTACTTTCATTGAGAATCTCTAGAATAACTTGTCTTATGGTCGTTTTCAAGTTTCTAAGCAATGGTTCCCTAAGTGCTGGCTTTATGTTATCAAAAAAGTCGGGTCTTCAAATGNGCATGATAATATATGAATTAGTATACATTAATCGTTTAACATAATTATTAGATTGTTAAGAAGTGAGTTTCTAAAATCTAGGCGAGATTTATTGACAATATTAAGACCTCTCTAGATACAACTTTCGAAGTTTAACAGTATCCAATTCGAAAAGAACAATATTGTGTTTGAATATTGTTCATAAGTAAGATATTCAAAGGGTGTGGGTGTGGGTGTGTGGGTAAAGGACAGACGTATACCCCAACCCACACCCACCCACACCCACACCCACACACCCACACACCCACACTCACACCCACACCCACACACCCACACACCCACACACCCACACACCCACACACCCACACTCACACCCACTTACCCACACCCATACCCGCACCCAAACCCACACCCACACCCTCTTTTTACATGGGTTGAGCACTATTATAAAAACTCCAAGAAATCATTCTTTTCGCTCTTACATTTTTCTCGACTTTTAATTTATTCTTTCGCTATTTTCGCTTTTAGGTTTAATTCTATTGCAAAATAATTTCGCTAAATTCTGTTTCGTCCTATTGCCATTTCTTTGATTTTTTTCACTCGGTACCGTTTTCACTAGAAAATGTTTGCAATATCGACGAAGTTGCGCTGAATGCAAACGATACCGTCGTGCGCCATGTCAAAAGTTAAAGAAAACTTTCGGAATTTTTTAACTTATTGATGCAGAAATATGAATTTTCAAAGCATTCACTTTCATATAGATTCAGCTGACACAAATGCATTTCATTTTGAAAATTGATATCTCTATCAATAGGTTCAAAAACTCTGAAACTGGAAATCTTGACTTCTGATACGGAGAACAACGTATGTTATAAGTTTTAATTCGAAAATCTTGGACTTTGATAGAAAACCCACTAATAATATAATATCTCACTCTTGGTATAACGCTATTTTTGGGCGCTTCAGATCCACGCAGACAGATAAATGGCAACAACATTGTTTTGACCCATTGATGTTGAAAAGCGAAGAAAAAACCGCTTCAAAACTCATTCACTCGACAAATAAGAGAAATCAATGAGTGTTAACGATTTTTTTTTGCTGATAACGTATTTTCACGAATTTAATGAAAATATTAGGTCAATGAACATGTTTTAACGTACGCAATGGGTAAATTAGTCGAATGAATGTATTTTAAAATGGATATTCATTCATTTTAACGAATTAAAGTATATAAAATGAAAATAAAAATAGTCGCTGGTTATAAGTCATACCTATGTAGACAGATAAACGAAAGCACACTATTTCGACACATAGAAGGTGGAAATCTTATGGATACTGATATATACAACTAAGCATTGTAAATATAACAGTCTTTTTATTGTATTATTTCAAGGTAGAAAAAACCTAAAAAACAAAGAGAAATATAGAGCAAGATAACCAGAAAAATCCGTCAACTGATATTTCGCTTTAAGTGTTTAGGATGCATCAGACATATTGTAGTTGGTTTTAAAAAAATAAAAAACAGTAGCAGTGTAGTGGATATAGTTGAAAACAAATTAAATCGACAATATCATGCAGAGCTATTCTTTCTTTAATTTACAATATATAAATTATTCATCACTAACGAGTAAAATCTAAATGATGAAGTGAAGCGTCAATGCACTTGATTTTTGAATATCTTACTTATGAACAATATTCAAACACAATATTGTTCTTTTCGAATTGGATACTGTTAAACTTCGAAAGTTGTATCTAGAGAGGTCTTAATATTGTCAATAAATCTCGTCTAGATTTTAGAAATTCACTTCTTAACAATCTAATAATTATGTTAAACGATTAATGTATACTAATTCATATATTATCATGCTTGTATATCCTAACAATGCATAACTTAAAAATTGAATATTTCTTTCCAGGTGAGCCATACGCGGCTCATATTTTAAATTTGTTGGTTTCTCACTGAAAGCTTTCTTTTGACCCGAATATAGTCAATCGTTTCGCTCAACAGTTCACACACCTCCATTGTAAGGATGGATTATAACGATTGCATTCTACAAAATTCTATAGACGTCGAGAGTTTCACATACCAAAGCGCTCATAATTCCGATTGTTAAGTACTAATGAACCCCATTTTCGACAGGCTTTCATGTGATATAAAACTCATTATATATCCTATTTGAAATTATTGCAATACCTTCCTGGAAAAATATTATTTCCAACCCTGTATATATTTCGTGTTATTTGTCGAAGACTAACATATACACATCCAATTTTTCGTATCTGTGTCTCAGTCGAGTTGGTCTACTCATTGCTAAAACTACGCATATTCGCGCGTGTTCATGTAGATGTTTTTGGTTTGAAAGAACTAGTGTGCAATGGAAATATCTTTCTGATTCGAAACATTTTGGGTATGTGTGTCGTTTACAGATACTCGAAACAAAAGTATGTTTTTTATTTTGAAACTCTAATATCTTGTATTCTGAGTAGAAAATGTAAATCCTTCGTCAACGTCAGCATTTAAGAACACTACTTGCAGTTTAAAAAAGAACATCGGTGCATAAACAGCTTCGACTCGCTCTCTGCGGCAATGAATCATCTAGCGTATATTTAAATGCAAGAAAAAAACATTTAGCTTACACAGAGCAAATATTCAGCTTTAATTCCAAGTCATACAATATGTGACATTTTCTTTTCAACAGAATGCTAGTCCTACCTAAAACACAACCAAACAATCATGTTTTTATTAACTTTAGTATCACTTGCTCTTCTGATTCCTACTGCTACAACTAAAAATTGTAGAAATCAATCATCTATTGCACAGTCTCTCGCTGATGCTCACATCCCAGGAACTGCAATCGTTGTAGTCAACGCAACTGATATTCTGTATCAACAAGCCTTTGGCTATCAAACTTTTTCCGCATCAAGACCTATCAATGTGACCAAGTCTATTTTTACTCTAGCTTCCGTATCTAAAACATTTATTGCTGTTGCTATCATGCAACTTGTTGAACTGAATCTGGTCGATCTCGATACAGATATCAATCATTACTTATTATCTACAGATCCAAGAATATTCCATCCACTCTATCCTTCTCATGCAATTACTTTACGACAATTACTTTCACATTCAGCATCGATTGATAAGAATGGTGAAATGCCATTTGCTTCTCTAAAACCTGGCGATTCCGCATTAACAGAGACAGCTTTAGCTGACAGATGTTTTACATATTTAAATCCCAACGCATCCAATTGGCTACTACAACCACCAGGTACTGTATCACTCTATTCAAATATTGGAGCGTCTCTTTCTGCATTGATCGTCGAACGAGTAATGCAAATGCCATATGAACGTTATGTCAGAGAAAAAATTCTAAATCCGCTTGGTATCAAAATTGGCGAAGCGGGTTTTCGTCTTTCAGATATTCACAATAAAGAAGCATTGGTTGAACATTATGCATTCAATACATCGTATTTGGAAGAATGGAGGCAGCAATTACCACAGTTAAATGTTACTCAAGTAATATAAAGAGAAATATTACTGGAAATAATAACTTTGAGCATTGTTCTAGAGCAGTGTTTCTGATTGGCTTCACATTCCGTTCTTTAGCATACAGGATTATCCTTCTGGTCTCATGCGAATGTCAGCTATGTCGTTATCTTTATTTCTTCGTATGTTTATGAACAATGGATCATCCATTTTGCATCCTCGTTCCATTATCGAAATGCGAACATCAGTTGACGGAGTTATTCCTTACCAAAATCCAAACTCACCTAGTAACCAATCACCACTGCCACCATTTAGATATGGTCTCATTTGGAATTGGCAAACGATGCCTAATGGTCGTCAATTAGTTGGTCACAGCGGTGAAATGCCAGGTGCAACGAATTTGATGGTGACGAACGAAAATGGTACTGTTGGCATCATTTTTCTCTCCAATACGGATGTCATGATCAGCAATGGTTCATCGATGAAGTTTTTCGACACACTGATCAGTATTCTAATGTCTCTGTTTGATTGCTTCGAAAATTAAATATTTTTTTTTATATCGGACATATAATACACCCTTTTTACACTCTATATAATCTATTTTTTCCTTGACACTCAATAGTATCTTTCATGGATTCTAACGCCTAGCATATAAAAAGTAATGCTTGCAGATGGTAACAATATAAATTTTTGTCCAGAGCATGAATGTGTTTGAGACATGAAAAAATTATTTAATTACTCATAGAATATTTTTTCATTTGCATAGGTGTAAGATGGGAATTTTCAGAATGCAAAGAGTACAGTAGATTAATACTATATTTGACAAGTAGTCGATGCCTATTCACTTTTTATGTGATGTGCTATGATGAGGTGATCAAGTTCTAGTCACAATCCTGACTATTCGTTGAAGGATGTGGCCAAGATCTCTCGAGTGAACAGCAATCAATTTTTAATCTTGCCAATTCTATTCTGAAAATCACTTCCGGTATTGACCCAGATGCTGTTTCATATGAATGTAGAAAGAAGGTTGCAAACTTATATCAAGATTCTCTTTTAATCATGATGAAGATCTTGACAGAACTGGATAGAACGATGCTGTTTAGATTTCAATAAATTCTTATGGAAGCTATTAGGTGAATTTCTTGTGCAAGATTCTATTCAGTTGGTTGTTCAATCGCCAGAAATCTACATCCATTGGAGTGGAAATGCCATTTTTGTTTCCATATAATAAGAGCATGACAAAGATAGATCTATACCGACGAAGTTTATAGCGAGTATCCTTGTCAATATAATATTTTCAGCAGTTTTACGCACTAATCTGACTTGATGTTTAAAATGAAAAATATTATAGATATGCGGACTACAAAGATGATCTACAACTCGATAAATTAAAACTGTGATCGACCATTGACAGTAGCAATCCCATTTCGATGATGCGACAGAAAGAAATTGCCGTAGTGTGCTGGATCTGTCGTTTATTTTACATTGAATCTAAGAGAAATCAGAAAACTAGAATAATCGTTCAGTTATTTGACAGCATTATCAGCAAGAGGCTAATTGTTACCGCTTCCATTGTCTTTGTTACTTCGCGATGTCTTTCACTTCTTATAGTCGATTGAATATTGCTTCTTCATATGTTTAACGGAATTGGAGTCATTTTATGTATATCTGTGATTGGTTTTGAACAAAAGTTACGTTGAGGAGACAAAGAATTCTTTTATTGTATATGGAATATGTGTCAGAATTTTTCAAATATTATTTTCCAGTGTTGTACTATTATATAGTTATTGAACTAGTCATAGTTGAATACATGTCCCTAATGCATTATATAATTCATCGCAGTACACTACTACTCTCTCTTGAATTTCTTCCACTTTAGAAATACTAAACTCCATTGAATAGTTTCTACCCTAATATTCATTCAATTCTTTGGAAAGGAAATTTAAAGTTTCTCAAAACATAAATTAATCCTTTCTAAGAAAGAAGTCCATTTCTATGATGAGATACTGTATGATGACTTCATGATTATATATACTCACTATCTAGTCACTGTTCCAATGAAATTGCTACGTTTCTCTGCCAATAATTCCTGAGTAAATTCAAGCAATGTTGTCTGGAGTAATCGAAAATTCGAATAATCAACCTCCAAGTCGAAGAATGGGTACTGATGGTCCAAGCTCAAGTAGGAGTACCAAGTAACATTTGTCTATGCTTGAGTATGAGCAGTACGTAGCACTCGTCCATCTCTGAATAGATACACCACTGTTATTCTATCGGTCCATGTCACTAGTCTAATGAATTAGAAATGATTAAAATAGAAATTACCGTCACAGAAATGATTTCTGCAATACTGGGACAATCCTTCTTTCAAGTGTAACAAATAACTGATTGATTCAGATCCAATTGATTTTCAATCGAATTTCGCTGAGCTGAACGAAACCGAGGAAATTTCATTGTATCGAGACAAAGAAGCTTAAACAATTGAAAGTTTCTATCGAAAAAAGATATGATAGAATTAGAGTCAATATGACGAAGAGTTGCGGGCTATTCCTTTGATTTATGAAGAGCTTGTTTTTCTGAAAGTAGACTAGGTCGTGTTTGTAGGTTTCTGGAAAAGGTAAGAAATAAAATGACACTTACCCCTTTTTTTCTACTTCTGCCTTTTGAATATAATAGCAGCCCTAGATAAAAACGCTTTTGCAGTGTCTCATGCTGCGATAATTTCAATACTTACGACATTAATTACAAACAATAATAAGAAATAATGCCAATTGATCGAAAATCAAACTATTCACACTATATTATAACAAGAAAGAAAATGTAAAATGCTAATAGAAAAAAACGACATTCCGAAATTAGAAAACATGTCATGATGCAATAACAAAATTATTAATTTTCAATGTTACATTTCCACTACAATCAACCGTTGTTGATTACTAGTGATTATTGAAATTCAATATTCTCCTAGTGGCAATTTAAAATCGTCGTCAAATAATAGTACAGAACAGTCAAAAATCTTGATTATACTGTATAGTAATCATGATTCTTAACAGTGTCTGAGTGCATCACGTCGAAATATGTGTCACAATCTATGAGAAGGATCCAAATACCGAATTTGAGAGAAGAGATATGAAATTTTTGATGTTCTGGCTTTGGTCTAGGGTATGTGTCTATCTTCTAGACCATGTACTTTTCCATCAGTACAAAGTTGTTTAGAATGATGCTTGATAAAAATTATGAAATATATTTTCTGTTCACTTGTTACTTTGATTTTATTCGACACAACAGAATCTTTTCTTAAATATCAAAATTTTGATGTGAGTATCAATTCATGATGCTGTTGCACGAGTATTAAGAAAAGAATCATGTATATTTAGAGTGTAAGAAGTTGATTTGTTTCTGTGACCCATAATTAGATGAAGTGTGCATATCAATGTCGATATGTTGTAATCGAGAGACGAGTTCATCTTGTCTTTCGCTAGAAAAAGGAGTTTGAACTTTAAATTAGACGAAGACATATTTCGCCAACCGGGAGGCTTTTATTTATTTCAAAATTAATGTGAAGTTAGTCGAAATATGATTCATTGTACCTCTTTTGCCATGCTGAATTTCATGTGCTTCCTATACGATGCCACCAATAGGAAACTTTGAAGTAATGGCAACGTCCTTGAGCAATAACTTGTTTTTATAACAAAAATATACCCACAACCATATTCACTTTTTCTCCTTGGTGAAAATCAATACAATCTTGTACGTATGAATCTGGAATAAGTATTATAGTATGTATATGATGACTATTTACAATGGTGCCAGAAGCGACAGCTTCAAGATAAGACTCCAATATTGAAAACAGGCATCGTAAAATCTTCGAATATCTTTTTACGACTTCTACCGTTGAAACGGTGTGTTTACCCATTTACACAGCAAATTTTATGAGTTTTACAACGTTTAATAACAGCAACACTTATTCACGCTAAAAGATCGATTGAGAAAATACCGGGTGTCCCAAAAGTTCCTTTCACTTAAATATTTCATATATCTTTGCCATTTAATTTGACTTTATCAACTAACTTTTTTTTAAATGATAGGTACACACACCAAGCTTTTATTTATACGAACAAACTTCAAAAGTACTATTCAAAGCTAAGATCCTTAACCGAAATACAAAAACTTAGTCTGTTTTCTATTTCCAGAAAACCATGACGCAACATTGCTGTTTCAATTACTTCGGGTTATCAACTGATAGGAATCTTTAAACTTTTCAATTCTTGAATAGCCGTTTCATAGAATTTCATTTTGGCACGTCTTCAGAAAAACGAACTAAATGACATCAAGTCAAAATACACACAATTAAATCAGACATCAGTCATGAGTTATTCTGGAAATAGAAAACACGCTAAATTTTTGTATTTCGGTTAATGGTCTTAGCTTTTGACAGTACATCTAATGTTTGTTCGTATAAATAAACACTCGGTGTATGTAAGTATCATCTAAAAATAAATTAGTTAATAAAGCAAAATTAAATAGCAAAGATATACGAAAAATTTAAGTAGAAGAGACTTTTGAGACACCCGGTATATATTCGCGAACATTTTCTTCAAAATATTTCACTACGTTAAACAATAACTCGTTAGGTCCCGGTCTATTAAAAAAATTGAACGTGTTGAAACAGATTTGTCTTTTCAGATTCGTTGAAATGCAGAACCTTTTATCCAAACATGCTTATTCTTATATAGGCACACCAGATGTGAATATTATACTATTATTTGTAGGCTGCTCTGATTTTTTTATCAGAATGAAAAGTCATTTTTTTTAAGAATTATAAAAAGAATAGGATATTTTCAAAGGTATCCAACTACTTTTTGTCTTTTATATGTGCGAGCTTAAACCAGTTTCTATTATTTAAACTCGTTTATGTAATATTTTCCTCAAAATTCAAATTTGATTCTGATCTACTTGCGGTGTTACATAGTTATCGTTATATTTTTTTCATTTCATGTTTCGAATACTTTTGCGATCATAGAAACTTTCAAGGATTTTTTTCTCTTTTGTTTATGATTATTTCTATATTATCAAGAAACTTGTCATCAGTGCAATAATAATCGATATTGGTTGCATCTCTAACACTTTTATCACATTAAGAATCTATTGCTTATTGATTGAAGAATCAACTACTTTTACAACTATTGAAATTATTTATCGTATTTTCGTTTCAGCATGATTAAGAAGCGGAAGTGGTGAAGATTATATAATCAAAAAAGGACAAAAAAGACAATATAGGATTGGATATATGAATGCTCAACATTGCTAGAAGAAAAAACAAGTCTAACTGTGAAAAAACAGTTAGTTAAAAACATATTTTAATCATGTTGATCGAATAGGATCTATTGAAATATAAAGGTCTGTTCGCCTTCTCTATTATTGATAAGATATTTTTACATTTATCGTGATGATGGAGAAATCTTTGTACTTCTCTCTGCATCCACTTATTTTGTTGAGTTTAGAAGAGTAAATAGTTTATGCACCAAAGCTTAATCAATTAGGTGATTTGCTAACTTTTTTTGGAATTAGTCGAAAGAGAATTTTAGAATATACTCAAGATAACATTTCTTTAACAGACAAGCGAAAGCAAATATAAGTTTTATGATGAGTATAATGAAATAAAAACGTGTTTGTATGAGTTTTATGTACCTAATATCAGTTAGAAATGTACTTGAAGGTATCATGAATCGTCATTTCTTTAGAAAAACTCACTGTATCAAGTGTCCTGTTTCTGAATAATTTTGATATTGTCACATCGTAATTCTCAGAAAATACTTCAAATTTCTAAGAAGTTATTTTCATAATCCAATCGCTTATATACATGTTGAAATTTCTTTTTTCATTTTTTTCTTGTTTAGTTCTATTATGATCATCTTTGTATAATTTCTGCGAAGTTTTTCATGCATTGGGATGGACCATCCTTTCAATCACCTATTATTTTAATGGCAGAGTCATTTTTGCTCTGTCACTCAAATTAATAACCGACTTTTTTCTTCGCGTTCTTTTTATTTCTATTTCTTGTACAGCTTGACAAATATTTGGCAACTGATGACATTTGGTTTTGTATTACCAGTTAAGATTTAGTGTAGTTGGCAGATCTGTAACTGAAACGAGTGACTGCATACGAGTTAGTCTTCGAGTTTTTAGTGCTTTCATCGAGATCCTTTACTCGAACATTGACAATGCAAATAGATGTGAAGCGACCGAACTTTAATCTAATGTTAATCTTTCGTCTTTCTACGTATTTTCTTAGAGCACAATAGAATTGTTATTTTTATAGTTTTTTTGTTCACATCAACAGAGATGAGGAAAAAGCGGATAGTTATAGTTAGATATTGTTCCTAAGTTTCAATTATATTTATGGTATTTCATAAGTGTCGGGGTCATTTTGATTTCATTTTGTATTTTTCGAATATACAAAGTTGAATGGACATAGAAGATATATGTTAAAGAGTAACATCTAATTTATTATTCACAATTTATTGTAATCAGCTGACATTCTACACAAAATTTTTAGAAAACCATCTAGAACTTTCAAGGTACTCGAAAGTATCCATCACATACTGATGTCCTTACTGTAATAGTGCCACAAACCAGTAAAAGTCATTTTGTTCAAATACTTGGTTGACATCAGACGTTTGAACAGGGCTACATTCTCGTGCGTGGTCACTGACTGGTGCTACTTGATGGTCTTATGAAGCCAAAATGCTGCAGTTTCTGGATAACTCGAAATTCGTGACAGAATCATGGCGTACTGTGAAGAACGTCGCAAAAAAAAATTCCCTAAGATTTTCTTAATGGCATTGAAATCTGTCACCGTTTTCTTCCATGATGACTTTTCTTGGACGAAAATTCAAGAAGACAGTTTTTGCAATGCTTTTCGCGATAGGTTATGCTGCAGCTCTTGTTCCCGAGATTGTATTTACCAGTTCTCGATAAATCTGAAAAATGTGGGCCCCCTACTCCTATCAAGTGTACCAGTCGGTGGCCAGAAGTGAGTACATAGCTCTGCCCGGAGATCTAAAATCAAAACAAGTGTTCGAACAAACGAATTTCTAGTGGTCTCTCACAACCTTACAGTGACGATATAAGTATTGGCGTTTGGGTTTTACAGTTCATATAGAAACAATAACATACTATTGCATGAAAAATATTATATTAATTGTCAAAAATTCGAATTTCACAAACTTAATCCTTCACCAGTAGTTCTTTACGGAAGTCTTCTGCTTTGCCGAAAAATGTGCTTAATTTAGTAACATAGTCTCCGACGATAAATCAAACTGTCTCTGAACTTTTTTTGCGCATTTTCCTCGTAGTTTGAAAACTTTCACACTTCCTGGGGCTAGTTGATTTTTTGTAGCTTTGTAACCTTCAAATCAGAACTTAGTCGTCAGTGATGGTGATACATAAAAATGATGAGAAAATTCTTTTGCATTTTACGATTTTAAGAGCTGACAACTTCTGTTATTCGATGAAAATGTCGATCTTTTTATTCGATGCTTTGAATTGCATTATAAAACGGTGCGTCCTCCCTCTGACAGAAGCGTGAAATTAGGAACAAAGCACTAAACTACCATTAAACAACATGATATTTATTATACTGAACAATTCATTCTTTTTATTTGATTTTCTAAAGCCTCTTTCTCAAACCATTCATATTGACATCTATTGAGTATGACTATATTCAACCATCACAATACCTTCACTCTGATTGATGCTATGATTGTCTATCTCAAGTGAACATGTGTTCTTACTTGTCAGCGTCAAAACTTTCTCCACAATATTTCTGACAAAAAATTTGTTGACAAAATCACTTTTCAACAAACTTTTTCTGGAGGAAATTTAATTTCGGCGAAAGAACTGCCAATCAGAAGTTTGTCGGCAAATGATATTAATGTCTTGACTTATGTAGAATATATCAGTGAGGTTTTCAACAGTGTGCTATTTTGGTTCCCTCATAGACTGTGATAATCAAAGCGAGTTGGCTCTATCTTATTTCACAGTTAAACCTCATAGTAATTTCGCAGAAAGTTTTTCACATATTGTCGATTCGTTTGAAAACGTTAACCGATCCTTGAACAATTCTGAGTGACTTTTACAGCCTACGTTATTGTGCATGACAATGTTTATATTTTGCAAATTCGTAGCTCACAGTATGACTCTTCTAATATTCGAGCGGATGAAAAATTTCATTCATTTCACACATTAATCTCACTATGGAATGAAACATATGACGTGAAGCTTGTTTGAACCAAATAAACCTCATTGGTAGCTAAAAGTAGTAATCTTTTACTAGAAAATATTATGAAATAATTTCCGCTGTTGAATTCTTCTTTTCGAAAAAGAAGAATCAGAGTTAGGAGAAACGTCAGTAAGTCTCTCGATGATTAAGAGATACTTTTGTCATTTCTTCTACAACTCACTCTTGATTTCAGTTGTGTATTCAAACTATAATCTCTAGGAAAATCGCGTACTATGAATTTTCTTAGGTATTGCAATGCACATAAACAATTGGAGACAGGAATGAATTACTGAAAGAATAAGAGATGCCAATAGAATGAATTGCGAGCAGTTTTGTTTTATACTTTACTTCTCTATTCACTTGGACATACAAATAGTGTCGTAGAAATGAAAATTTCTAGTAATATCAACTCTAGATTATTGATCAACAGTTTTACGTAACTCTTACTAACTGGAGATATTGTATCTAAAGTGATCAGATCGTCGGATCAACGGTGTTACAAATTACGACTTATATTCAATTGTACTTGATTCATAGTGATGTCGAGTTGTGAGCGGAATGCAGTAACCCATAAATTCATTGACACACCGCAGAAAACTGTAGAAGTATTATCAACAATCGATGTACATGAGCATCTTTCACAACTGCAAGGAATTCGAGCGGGTGCTGTTGTTCGACCAGAACCTCTTTTTCATAGAAAAACGCGACTTATCATAGATACGCATTACGATCCTGAACATAATATACTACGGAATGGAGTAGAAGAAATCGAATTTCAAAATATCAACTTAATCTCGCTGGATAAATTATTCAACGACAAACATGAAATATTTCTTGGATTCGGACTACCGAATGTTTATTTAACTATTTCCAATGAAAATAACGATGGATACGTCAAATTTGCTGCGTTTATGTTGTGGCGTCAACGAAGTGCAGTGATCAATACAAAAGGTCGTGTACAATCAGGTTTTCTAATTCGTTTTCGAAATCTACCCCAAAATGCATTAGTAGCATTACGACGAGCTATATTGCAATATTCAAACAAGCGGCACATCTCTTGTGCATATGCCAATGCTTGCGTACTCGACTCAGCCGGATTTACTAGTGACGGCACTGTCTTGAATGTTCATTTCGGTGCTCGTGCTTTATTTCAACAAATTTTTGAGCACGGCTTGGAATATAGAAATGAACCAGTAACGCTCGACTTCATACGAACAACTCGATTGACACTTGAAGAACATTTTAGTGAAGTACGAAAGAAAGAACTCACTAGCTTGGGTCGTACTGGTATGAAAGTCATAGATGAATGTGCAAATTCTAAGAGCCACATTCGAGCACCCTTACTTCGAGCAACATATGTTCCAATGAAGCCGACAGTTGTTGGTCCTTGTGATTCATTAACACGTTTAGAAATTTCTCGTCCTGATTTATTTGGAGCGACAATTCGAAAAATTATTGGATCACATACAGTCATAAAAGTAATTCCAAACCGAGAGCAAGTCAACGTAGACACCTATCTATCAAAAACACTTCGGGCATACGCAATGAAAAATCCAAGCCTACTAACTCGAATTAAGCAGTGTATACTTTTCTCTCAACCTATTGTGACCACAATTCGAAATCACATGGCTTCTTCGTGGGACGATCATGGTTATTTTGCTCCTGGACCTTTGGCATCTATGATGAGTATTCATACTAAAACTGAAACTAATATGTACAATATTGTTATTACTGGTGATTATCTCATTGGCATGCATAATAGTTCAGGTTGGAAAATTGCAGATTGGATATTATCAAAACATGTTCTCATATCTGGTTATGACGATGACGTCCGTTTTGCTGGTGAAGTTTGGATGCAACATGAAGAAGATGGTTTGGTTCTTCATTTATCGAACAATTCAGGTACTTACCAACCAACGAACGAACACCTTGTAGCTGCTGGACAATACGTTGCTGCTGCATTACCCGGTCTAAAAATAGAGCTTCATCCCAAAACAACATCACTTTCAGCAACTTCGAAACTGGTTCACAGACAAAAATGGTTGTTTACACGTAAACACATGCTAGTACTCGTGTTAGCATGTTCGGCAGGCATATTTTTTCTTACGCTTAGTAAATCGAACCCTACTACGTAGAGAACATTGCTTTATCTGAACAAAAACTTCCAACGTAAAGATGACACAAGGACAGATCATTTTATTTTCACTGCCACTAATTTATTTTTTACTACTAACCTAAACTGCATTTGAGGTATTACTTGAGAACTGTATTTATTAGAATATAGAATAAAAGCAAAATATCATTATGCCAATCCAAATGTAACAATCATGTGAAACTTCAAAATGAGAACTCTCAAGGAGAATAAGAGTTCTTTGAATGCCAAATCTATAAGTCTACAATAAACAACAAAACCCTGCTAAAAGTTCACAGATAAAATAATTTTATTCGATGTTATCGTCGACGTCTTGATTGAAAATACGATCTTGTAGATGGTTTTTCACTTTTTTTTTGCTTTGATAAGTTGGTTTCCATTTCAGAAGCATCCATTCTGACGTAAAAGTTGAATGGCCAGTGACAAACAAAGAACTCTACGTTACGAAAAAGCTCAGATATGTAAAAGTCTGTAATACTAATTCTCAAAGCCTAATTTACTTTAGTGCTCAATATCAAACTTTGTGCAGCTTGTACACCTTAATGATTTATGTCTACCATAAAAAGAGTTCGTGTTCCTCACTTGTTTCTGAGAAAACCGAACGTTTTTACTGTTATCACCATAAGAGTTATCTTATCAAAAAAAACAAAAAATCACCATCTCAGCTCAGATAAATTGAAACGAACTGAGATTTTCCTCATGTATAGCTGTATTCATGTGGAATATATTGTGACAGTATGAGCACAAAAGAACTTAGAAAAGCAGAACTATCAGTTTCAGAAAATGTTAACGTCGTTTAAATATCAATTACTATGTTACTTCTTAGAGCTACGAGATGTACGAATGAAAATACTAGAAAATTGAGAACTTGTGTCGTAATACACTTTTGAATGCTTGATAATTATGGTCTGCTACGATAACATATTTATTTTTCCTCAGCTCTAATATCTGTCACAGTGCTTATATTGTGAGTTAAATATAAAGTAATCTCTTTCGTATACGAATGATGAAAAGTTTTGAATGAAAATAAATGAACCAGAAGTATGTTGATGAATAAAATGAATTCATACCACGTATTTAAGAGGGANCACGGAAAGTCACAAACTCTGCTATCGATGCTTTGAAGCTTCATGTACAACGAAGATGACCAATAATGAAATACTCACATGCCCATTGTGTAATTATCAATTACAAGACGGAGAAATCAGACAATTGAGAGTATCAGTTGATCGGCAGAAACAATTTTTAGAGTATCAAATACAAAAAACATTCAGTATTTATACTGGTGCTACTCAAGGGGTAATTAAATGTCCAAACCAACAATGCCACTGGGTAGCTGAGGCAAAGAATCCTACTGACCGCTTTCAGGTTCAATGTCCTCTGTGTGGTTATGAATTTTGCTCACTTTGTAACCAACAATACCATTTTCGAACAACATGTCAAGAAGTTCCAGAAATTACTCAACGTTGGTTCTTTTGGTGTAATACAGGTAAAATTTTGAAATAATGTGAATTTCTTTGTATCATTTGTTTTTGTTCAAAGAGCGTGGTAACTATTGGCAAGCTCGAGCACAACAAGACGCTAATTTTAGAGCTCAACTAGAAGATTATGAACGACAAAAAGTTGTTAATGAACGACGAAATGAAGAGTTGCGCCAACGTTACAATGACTTACTGGCTGATGAGACGTTCAAATCTCAAAATTGTCGTATTTGTCCGCATTGCCGACGAGTAGTTCAGCATCTTGGCGGATGTAACTCCATGATATGTGGTCAAAACTATCATGGTGGTGATGTACAATCTGGATGTGGTCGACCATTCGATTGGTCTAAGGCTGCACCATATGTACCCATTGCTAACCGAGGTCCACAACAAGTTAAAACTAAGTTAAAAGCTCCGGGAGAACAAAAACTTGTTGTACACAAGGACGTCCAGTAAGTATAATGCAATGAATGTAATATTGATCGTTATAATATTTTTATTCAGATGTGATACTTGTCATAATGAAGTTCAAGGAATTCGATTCGATTGTATTCAATGTTCTTCGTTAACATTTTGTGAGAAATGTGAACAACGTTCTACTCTTGAGCATTCGAATCAAAATCGCGACCAACAAAAGCAACAGCATGTTTTTCGATTAATACCAGCACCAATAGAAGAAAAAAGGGGCATACGATCAATTTTATCTTTTTTCTTTAGAAAATAAGAAATAATATATATATTCAAAAGACCAGTCTTACCGATGAATTGATCAATAACTTTTTTTTATAATAAAATTCGTCAAAATACGGAAGAATTAATTATGCACCATTTCGTATAATGTCTAAGTGTCATATAAAACATTTACGCTAACATTTTCATGATTTTCCTACTGAGATTTTGTATACGTTTCAACTAAACGCTCGCATGGTATTCACCAATGATCGACTAGCACAGGTCGGCCGACATCTTTTCTGCACGTCAATAGATCAGAACTACACGAACTGCTACGGGGATGTAGATGTAGGTGCGGGTCCCAATTTAACACATTTAAAAGCACATTTACTGAAAACAATACTACTCGTTCTACATCTAATGTAGTCGCTGTGAAGAAAGGCAAAATAATACAGTGTAACGTGTAATTGCACAACATCAAAGTGAACACAAATGAAAATGTACATTTCTGCAGAACTAAATAGAGAAAGCTATAATGTCTCGATTACTTCGCTTTGTAAATCAATGGTAGATTGTTTTCCCTAAAAAAAACGTTGCGGGTTCAATTCCCGCCGAAGCAACCACCCAAATCGAACATGCAATCTTTCTCTTTTTCAAGGGCACAAAATATCCAACACATTTGAAACAAAAATAATCAAAGAAAATCTTTTTTTTTAAATTTATCTTTGGCTATCAAAACAAGACAAAGAATATTTGACAAAAAACTAAGTGATAAAAAAATAATTCAGCAGACGTTTTTCGAAATTGATTTGAATGTGCACTTTTCTCTTTGTTATGTTTTTTTAAATATATTTTCCAAACATTTCTTCGAATGACAACAAACAATCTATAGGTATTACCTATATTTTTTTCAATATATATATTTGTTTCAATAGGATATTATCTATCTTCATCGCAGAAGTCAATAGTTAAAAAGGCAAAACTTTCTTTGATTACTGGAACAAATGGAACAGTGTGCGAGTAACAAGTAAGAAAATCATATAGAAACAGAAGCAAGGTCAAGAAAAGTTCACGAGTGATTCTTGAATAAAATCTGTTTTGTTTTCTTCTATTTACAAATGAATTTAAGAAAATGAGTTGTTAGATACATCAATTTTAGACAATAAAATTTATTTATCTATATCGGCATGAAGTTCACGGTTTCATTCGATACAATTGAATCCGTGTTTCTGTTTTACAAAACAAATAAAATACAGTTATACGATAGAATATTTTTTGAAAATAGGTGGGGTGTGCATATGGGTGTGAACGCGGATTTAGGTGTGAATGAACTATTGCTTAAAGATCAGGATAGCCTCTCTTGCACTCACACCCCAGGGAAATAGCTATCATTACCAGGAAGCTTTGAGTCCTTGCCATTGATGCCTAACGAAAGAAAAAAAAATTCTGTTTTTTATTTGTAATTCAAATTAAACGTATCAATACTGATTCCAATATATCGACATCCGGACTTTGTAGTAATTGCCACTTAGGTGCCGAGAAAATTATCTGACATTTTGATAAGATATACATGAAGACTAACAAAGTAAAGAAAATAATACATATACTGATAATAATTTTCACTCTGTTGGAATAATTTTGAGGACATATTTCAAGTGGCAAAGGTATCGAATAACTCGTCTTCAGCTCGTTTCGTTCAAATTTTCACAAATGCATTTATGAATATGCTACTTGTCACTTGTTTACTTTCCTATGTTCGATCACCATATCACGAACAGTGTCTAATTTAGAGAAAACAGCTGTCTCTATCATCTCGAAGTGAAAATTGAGTTTATGAAGTTATATAGAATCACACTTAGTTTCCTATAGGTTGAAGTTCTATTGTTATGAATAGCAGAAGAACATTAAACTCGTAGAAAAGGTCTTTTTACGATATTTTTTTTTCGATCTTAAGGATAATTATTCATGACAAGCTTTAAGGTAATAAACTTTTTTGCTCTGATGCATCCTGGAGAATTTCAAAGACATGACACTCTATACTCAGCCGTTCCTTTATCTTGATCTCCATAGAGCTGCGCTAGCACAACCTGGTGGTTATGCTATTTGACCCATACAAATTCAGTATTATGTTTGAACCTTGGTATGCGTTGTGACATATAAAATGCAAATTCTAAACTCAATTTTAGGTAAAGCTGGGTCATGTAACTTAACTTACTATTAAATATTAGTAAAAAACAAACTTAGCACTTAATTCCCTTGAGGGTGTGTGGGTGTGGATGTGGGTGTGTGGGTGTGGGTGTGTGGGTGTGGGTGTGGGTGGGCGTGGATCTGGTGGTGTGGGTGCGGGTGTGGGTGTTGGTGTGGGTGGATGTGGGTAGAGATTTACCCATCCACACGCACACGCAGACGCACACCCACACAGACCCCACCCACACCCACATCCACACCCACACACCCTATAAAAGACGATTTTCAATGCGTACCTAATGATGAAAAATTGAATGTGAAGGCTTTCTGTTTCCGTTCAATTCTTGCATCTCTAAACATATTTTTTTTCTATTTTTGCCAACACTTATGTAAACTTCATCAATCGTAATGGATGGAAGAAATTCTCAGATGCTTCTTCCTATCTTAATCATCCTACTGTGGTTATGAATTGTATTGAAAAAGTTTGTGGATTTGGACAAGAACCGAACCAATGTACTTCGATTAGTACTGAGTCAAAATAAATAACCATCAGTCATAGCAGAGTTGGAACCGGACAGATTTTTTGTATCCGGTCCGGTCCGGCCGGAATCCGGCCAGTTCATTTTCGAAGCCGAACTAGCAAAAATCCGGCAAAAAATTGGAACTCAAAAGAAGTTTGTTTAAGAAAAATAGGAAATGAAGTAAAATTTTCGATATTTACATGCGGATATTTGAAGTGAATCGCCTAAATACTTAGGGCATACCAAAAGTTCGTAGAGTGATACCTTAATACCTTATGATAAGCTTTAAGTAACTTTCTTTCTATATAGTCTGATAGAGAAAAAAAAGCTCTATCTTTCTATGCTATTTAATCGTACTTCGGCTAATATAATAATATTAAATTATCTATAAAACTCATTTCGGCTGGTTATGTGCTGGTTGTATTAATACTCTTTCTAAAAGAATATGAGTGAGTATTTTTTGAATAACTTTTGATAGAAGTAAGATAGAGAAGTGCGGTTTTCACCATTAGAAAGAGAAGATGAAGACGCATCGAATCGTTTATTTCAGATTTTTCTAATCTGTTTTTTGTAGGATTTTCAATTGACCTTTTTAGGAACAAACTTATCTGGCAAGTTGTTGACAGTGAATTTTCAATTGTCAATTATAAATTCAAAGCATTAATCCAAGATCTACAAAGTGCGGAAGGCTAAGATGAATAATATGCATTCTAGTCGAACTCTAATATGATTTTGTAGCAAACTCTATGGAAAAAGCTAACTTTTGTGCTTTATCCGTTTTTTCATAAAAAAAAAACATTTTTCCGACAGTTACCAAATTGAATTAAAATACTTGAGAAATCAATATTAGAAAGACCTGTAATATGTGATTTGATGCATGTTCATCTCCTCTTTCTAACGGTGAAAATCGCACTTCTCTATCTTATTTCTATCGAAAGTTATTCAAAAAATACTCACTAACATTCATACAACCAGCACATAATCAACCGAATTAGGTTTTATAGATAATTTGATATTATTATATTAGTTGAAGTACGATCAAATAGCATAGAAAGATAAATTGTTTTTTTCTCTATCAGACTGAATAGAAAGAAAGTTACTTAGAGCTTATCATAAGGTATTAAGGTATCACTCTACGAACTTTTGGTATGCCCTAAGTAATATGGAGAGTGCGCAATTGTTGGTTTTATTTCAATTCTTTTGCCTTGCTTGCTAATATCTGTGGTGGGCGCTTTTCTGTAGTGTGGTGCCTGTAATAGGGAGACGGAGCCGCAAAATCTCGCCCTTAAACTTGCACTCACTATCCTCTTCAAAAGTATACGTGAGTTCTACAGAATGTATTAGTGTGCATGTTAGTTATGTATCCAAAATAGGAGGTCAACAGCTGTGAAATTTTAGTTTCAAGGTTTATTGTAATATCTCCATAGTTATCATACGGTCATTTGGCTCTAATTAGCGGTATATGTCTAAATGTTTGAGAGAGCGATGGAAAAGTACAGAGAAGCATTTTTGGCAAGCTGGAAGTCGATTATGTTCATAGCTCTACAGCGGTTGCATGAGCATTAATCAAAGTTTCACCATATATAATTAGAGTATAAAGTTATGAAAAGAACTCTCGGCTCATACATTATTTCCCTTTTTAAGTTATGAATTCGATATTGGAGACAGATTGTGCACATTGTTACTCTGTTGCACCTCATGCGATCACGAAGAGACTTTGCATGTTGATGTATTTTCAGCGAGACGTATTTACATAGGCTTTTTTAAGGTTACCACTCCGGTTGGGACTGATATTAAAGTATGGATGGGGATACTTCTCACTAGTAGCTGATGTGTTGCGAACATAGAAAGCTCTTTCAAAGATGGAATTGGCGAATTATTCACTTTCTCAAACCAGAAGCAATTGACATTTCAACGAATAAAAATTTTGTGATGAAATTCCTGTTGCACAAATCAAGTCATATTTTCGTATCATGAATGATAAAAATGACAAATAAATACATAAACAGACTGTCTGTTGTTATTTTAGTAATGATAAAGCTAAACTGTGTGCTGATCGACTTCAGTACGCGCAGCAGACAATTCAATAATGTTCTAGAAAAGAATGCAAGATATTAGACATTGAAGTGTGTGCTCGCTAAATGGCTCGAGAGAGATATTGAATTTTAAGTTGCTTTCTCTCGATGAAAAAAAGAGCGAAAATTGCTCTGCTTGAATCTTTAATTCTGACATTCATCTAGTTGGTGATATGTTTTGATTTTTGACATCAGGTGGTGATTTTTCGATTACGTATATGAATGTCCTTTAAAAAATGTCCTAGACAAAATGTCCCCGAGTTTTTGTCCTCGGTAAAAATGTCCTCCGAAATTTTGTCCTTTAAAAGATGTCTTCGAATAAAATGTCCTTCGAAAAAATATCCTTCAAGAAAAGTCCCTCATATAAAAATGTCCTTCACTTTGAGTCTGATGTATAAAATGAAATTGGGTAAAGATGCAGATGACGCTGTAGTAAGAAAATGTTAGTAACTATATCACTTTCATAGAGGATAAGTTGAGAGCTGAATGAAGAAATAAAGAACGGAAAAAGTTGTTATAGATATAAAGTTGAATACACTGGTATCAGATTCACGAATACGCTTGTTGTATATTTTTAAATGGCATCCATTGATTCGATATTCAGTGATGAAACATCATCATCTTTACCATCATTTTTAACATCAACATCATCATCACTATCTTTATCTTCTTCATCAACATCATCATCACTATCTTTATCTTCTTCATCAACATCTTTACCATCTTTCTTTTTATGTTGCGAATCAAAAATAAAATAAAAGTTAATCTGCTATAATAAATCAAACACTTAAGTATCACATTATCGTTAACTTTTTTTATGGTTTACTAAAAGGACATTTTAATAATGAAGGACATTTTTTCATGGAACTTTATTGAAAAGGACCATTTTTAAAGGACATTTATAGTAAAGGATATTTATAGTAAAAGACATTTTTTGAAGGACAAAAACTCGGGGACATTTTGTCAAGGACATTTTTTAAAGGACATTCTTGGCTGTTACCATCTTTTCCAATCCATTTACATTTTTTAATATGATACTATTAAATCCTTCATTCCATAATGGCATAATCCCATATTTTCACACATTTCACGAATCAACCTATTATAGTTGTTGTAATCCACGATAACAATGTTTTATGTCTAGTAATAACTTTTTTACAATGAAATAATGTCAATATCAACTCGTATCTGTAGTAATAGATATCGTCAATAGTTCCAAGAGACAATAAAAATCGTTCCTCTTTTCTTTCATCCGCTGATTGTTTGATGAAAAGAATTCATATTGTTTCAGACTCTAACGAGAACACTATGGGCATAGATCGCTATTCTATTCATTATCGATCTGGTCAGATTGCGCATTAACTTTTAATCATTTGTTTTGAGCATAAAGTTTTTCGAGAGAAAAAAAATGAAAAATGTATAGCTAGTGTCATAAGAAACGACTTGCTTTAATAGATATATAGATATGATGTTCTTTTCATTAACTATTGATCCAACAAAGATATAATTCTAGCTCATTATTATTCTTCTCATTGGTTTTTCTATATTTAAAGTAGTATTCTTATAATATTCGACAATTTCATAGCTGCTAAACGAGTATTCGATGCACCTGGTTGGCTCCTTCAGAGTGACTGTGCTGATGATCTAGCCTATATTCCATCAATAATATGTCTCTTTAACAATTCTGGATAGAAGTCAATCTGCTGCCGACTTCCAAGACATGGCCGAAAGAAATGTTCTAATGTATGATACTTCAAAAATAACAATTGTCAAATACACAAACTCAAACTTTATCTTTTGTTTATCTACATGAACTTCCTGAGAAGTTTATCTGAATTCCTTCATGTTTTCCCGTATTTGAAAATAAAAAACTAAGTATATTTTGCAAAATAGAAATGAACTGTTAAAAACAAAATATCTACATTAAATATATAATGAAAAAACAAAACTCATCAAGAAAAGACAAGAAGTGGCAGAAAACTAGGGTGTGAGCGTGTTGTGATTGATATGAATAGACGAGAGTGACAGATGAGCCTTTGCCACTACTTACCATACTTTTTATTGCGAAACTATGCCATTCAAAACGTAAATTACATTTGCACTTATCTTGTTTATCTCCTCTCACATTTGGAGAACGAAAGAATAATGAATTTCTTTCTCATCACTCGAGCAACACTTGATGACGATACCGCAAACGGGAGAAAATAAAAAAAGCCTTGTAGAACAGAAGAAAAGAAAAGTAAATTTTGGACACAACACCTTACTTTTTCACTTCTTATTCACGATAGCAAAATGTCAACATCTACAATATTCATATTTGTGACAGGTTCTGGCCGAGCAAAGGATGTGCCTGAACTTGTCCGTGAAACCGTGGCTACCGGTTGGAAAACATATACAATCTTGACATCAAACGTGAGTTCTGTGTTACCTCCGGATGAAATATATAATTTGTCTGGTAGCCATGCTATTCGTGACTACAAGGATCCACCACTCAATAGATTTCCATTTGGTACAATGCTTGTTGCACCCTGTACATTCAATACATTTAATAAGTTGGCATTGGGCTTAGCCGACAATCTTGCAACATCAATGATTGCCGATGCACTGGGTGCTGGATGTCCGATATTTATCGCGCCGGCAATGAATCGTGGCCTATGGAATCATCCACAGACTCGTATATCAGAGACGAAATTGAAAGAATGGGGTTGCACTATCATTCCACCATATATTGATGAAAAAGTTGTTACGATGGCATCAATTAAAGAGATTTTACAGGTGTTGCATCGACATTTTCAATAAATGTCTATTAAAATGATGTCAAGAATTCGAAATTTTCATTTTCAAAAGATGCGGGTGACGGTATGGCATGTGGGTGTGGCGTGTGGGTGTGAGTGACTGAAGAAAAATAACCTACACCCACACCCCACACCCACACCCACACCCACACCCACACCCACACCCACACCCCACCCACACCCCACACCCTCCATAACATTTAGCAACTTTATCCAGGGTGTGGGTGCGAGTGTGGATGTGAATTTGCATGTGGGTGCTGTTGTGTGAGTTAGAGTCCGGCGGTTAGTGTACTGCGTGAATCACGAATCACGGTCACGATCACGAATCACGCTCACGTGTGAGCGTGATCGTGCGTGATTATAATTTTTTTTTCAGATCGTGATCGTGATCGTGCGTGATTAAATTTTTTTTTCTAAATCGTGATCGTGACGTGACCGTGATTGAGGGAAAAATTCGTGATCGTGATCGTGATGGAGACTAACATCTCGTGATTCACGACTATAGCAAAGGATGCGGCGAAATAAATGAGCGATTAGTATTTTATTGTTATTTCGATAATTTTTAATTGTTGAGATCTTATTATTTTTCTAAAATATTTGACATAGAATTCTGCACAACGTGGTATAACCTAATTAACCAATAGATTTTTCTTTCTTTCTAGAGCACAACTGTTTTAAACAACAAGACTGGAACAATTTTCTAAATCTGGATATTTTTCAGAGAAAGTTTTTCATTCTTTAATCATTGCAAATTACTTTTTCACATGTTTACAGCTCGTTTTGATGATTAATCCATTGAAAGTAATAACTGGTAACACACTGCTTGCATTAATAATCATCAAACATGCCATAAAACAAGCCGCAAAGACTGAAGAATGAAAACACTTTCTCTGAAAAACAACAGATTTAGAAAATTGTTCAAATCTTGTTGTTAAAAACAGTTGTGCTCTAGAAAGAAAGAAAAATCTATTAGTTAATTAGGTTATACTACACTATGAAGAATTATACGACGAATCTTTTGAAAAAAAAATAAGGTCTGAACAATTAGGAGTTATTGAAATATCAATAAAATACTAATCGCCCATCTATTCTGCTGCACTCGTTATAGCGGCGATGAGCTTTTCCGATACTAATTTTTTCATCTTTGTTTACAGAATAATAAAATGAAAAATGAATGCATGGTTGGACCAGCACCATGTAGAGGACGCTCACGAGTCGAATCTATTAGTCTCTGAGATTGATACCATATTAAAATGATGAGAATTTTTTTGCCTAAAAACATTGCGAATAGTCGTGATCGTGATCGTGAATTTGATCTGAGAAAATGCGTGATCGTGAGTTTGATTTAAGAAAATTCGTGACCGTGATCGTGACCGTGAATTTGAGCTGGGAAAATTCGTGATCGTGATCGTGATCGTGATTATAGTTGAAATAAAAGTTCGTGATCGTGATTCACGACCTTGTTTTGCTCGTGATTGGGACCGTGATCGTGATCAAAAATATCAATCACGCAGTACACTAGTGCAGTACTCGAGCAGACAATTTTATTGTGAAATGCTGTAATGCTTATACATATTTGAAATTAGATAGGAAATTAAGACGATAGCTATGAGTGAGAATCATACTATTTTAATTAATTTTTTTCAATCAAAACAAAACTATTTTTCGAAAATAAAGATTTTTGGGATCGAGAAATCCGAATCTTGAATCGTTTTTCCGAAATTTTTGAGTTCGATTTTTCCGGTTAGCAAAAGCCTATTGCGATGAAATAGCTGAATGTTATGAAACTTAAGTAAATCGCAGGAAATAGGCTTACACTCAACTTTTATAAAAAAAAAAAAACATTATTTTCGAAACAGAGTTACCTTGTCCAAATATATATCAACACGTTCATTATCAAAAGGTGTCGGGGTTCGAAACTTGCACTTTTCCCTTAGATTATAATCATATAAAATTAAAAATTAAAAAGCAAATTCTATTCCAGAACTGTCTTATTGTGAATGCTACCTAGTTGATAGAGTTAAAAATAATTAGGAAAAAAAAACTTTTTGGAATGGATTATTGGCAATCAAAGGTTTAGAAAATTAATATTTGAAACACAATGGTCTGTGGTATGTTGAACTGACTAGAATTAGTCAGCATTCACTAAAGCTATATTTGATTTGCATTCACCCAAAAATTCTTTGCTAAGCTTATTAATTAATTTGTTCGTGTTCTATGGCATCTATAGAAACGATTTAATAAAAATTTGCTTCTCTTTAACTGTGAGACATTTAGAAATAGGCTTTATATCAACTTAAAGCCTATCGACTGTGAACTTCAAATCAACAATCTGAATCTAATTGTTATTATAAAAATAATTTTTGACATGTGGGTTGGATGAATAGACAAGCATGAAGTTCAACCATATCTATAATGCACGACGTGAATATAATGTTTATGCATATACATTATATCCTTATATATTGGTGTTCGACGGACTTGGTTCAAACTTTTTCTGTGTATATTTGGAGTTATAAGATTGATGTTATTGAGAAAACTGTCTTTCCGAACCGTCAGATTTGGCCAAAGGCAAGAAAGGGTTAATGTTAATAATTCAGGAAAACTTGCACTTCTTTACTTTTACAATTAGAATGATACCAGAATCTATCTTATCATTTCGTTTTTTTGTTTCTTTAAACTAGATCGCATCGATCATCAAATGAAGCTTCTAATTTTACTCATAATAGAGAATCAGTAAAAGCTATTTCATCTACAAAAGAAAAAACTGTCATTATATCATCTAAATCTTCTGCAACAACTTCTTCCACATCAACAACAGAACAAACAGTTGAACAACTTCTTGACTCATGTAATAACGTTGCATTAGAATCGAATGAATCCAAATTAGCAACAACAAGTCAAGTATCCAAGATAACAACAGATCCTATGACTACTTCTGAGTATAAAATAAATCGAGAGAAAAAAATTAAGAAATTAGAACGACAATTCCGCAGTTTATCTAAAACAATACGTGAATTAGAAAAAAAAGATATGTCATTAGATGAAATGGAACATTGTGATTTATATGTTGTAGAATCAAATTTAAAAAAACGAGCATATGAGGTAATTTGAATCAATTTTTTCAAAACAAAAGAATTTCTTAATATTGCTAAATAATTCAGATTTATACTAAAGTTGCTGAACTAAAGAGTCAATCATCTTGTATCGAACGTATTCTTGATCAACCGGTTAGTTTAACAGGTAACCTTGAGTTTTTATTTAGAATCGTTATTTATTATAAATTCTTTTTTTTTTGAGAATCTGAAATTGATCATCCATTGATTAATAAAGCTCTCGAAGATATGGTTAATCGAACAAAATATTTACCATCTTTTACTGATGTTCTCGATACAGTAGAAAAAACAAATGATAAATATAAACTTAATCTTAAGTACAGCTGGATTCAATTTTTCTTTGTTGTTGATTTCAATTTTATTGTAGTACTGACATTCGAAAAAATTTTGCTGAAAAATCCTTTAAAATAATAGGTAAAAAAATTAAAAATCGACGCATGGCTGATTTTAATGATATTATGAACAGTCGTCTTCCAGAAGATTTTGAGTAACATTTGTTCGAAATTGAAAAATTTTCTCATTAATTCTTTTTTTTATTTAGTATCGAACAAAATGATCCTGCAGTGAACAATGTTGACATTCAAAAAACATTATTAGAAAACGAACGTGAAGCTATTATTAAAACAGAAAAAGTATGTTGAGTATTTATTTGTAACATATAATAATGAATTTACTTTTCCTCTATAGATTTTAGATGAATTTTCTCGAATTGATCCAAATCGTGAGCCAGAAGTTAATATTGAATCATCTGAAGAATCCAATATTGAAAGTAATGAAGAGGCGGAAATTGAAGAAGAAGAAGAAAGAGTAGAGTGGGAACCCGAAGTGATTGCTGCATCGTCTGACGATAAACCTGACGAAAATCAATATGATATTGTTGATATTCTTCCGCCTTTCTGTAAGTATTCCTTGATCTAGTAAAAAAAAATGTGAATAACTAAATACAGAGTGTACGTGAGGGTCCTCTCTTCATTTATCCACACCCTTTTTTTTATCAACAAAGTTGTTGTTCATTTAAATGATTTATCGATAAATATAAAGTGAAAATGAATTGTCACAAGGCATGTACAAAGATCTAGTCGAATTGAAAATGAGATTTAATAATGGAAATAAATTAAATCTAAATTAAATTTTCTACCGTATTTTTGCAAACATCTCGAAAACGATGGATCGACGTATTTCAGATGGTATAGTACTCGTTTTGGCCATTTCTTATAAATCAAGTTACATTCAATTAAACTTTAAAGAACACATTAGATATAAAATTATTTCGGATTTTTCAAAATTTAAACCGAAACAATCTTATGTCTGGAAAACATTGTAATATTTAAAAAATTAAAAACATTTGAACTATGCAAGAAATACCTACATAGTTTTTCACTGTGAACTTTTGGAAGATTCTGTATTTGGGATATGAGAAGTGAACAGGTGTTCACATACGTGTTCTTTTTCTTAGTCACAATTGTTTAAAAAAATAAAGTCTATATGCTAGTAATAATAAATATTTGACTCTCATTGTTAGAGTCATATTGGTCTCTCTTAATGAATGACTAGAATAAAGAAATAATAATAGCTGAGAAGATTGAACGTTGTTTCTCTCTAAATCTGTTGTCTGTATTAAGATGAGATTCTATAATGATCGAATATAAGCTCAAAAATATCTACTCTTATCATGTTCATTTGCTAAATATTCATGCACGAATTGAATAGTTTAAGTTCCAAATTTTTTTCAGAAAATATTTCAATTATTTACTGATCTATTCATAATATATAAATAATCTAATTTTTTTAAACTCTTTTTCTAGCATCGGAATCCTCGTCTCCTGCAGAACCAATGGTGACTGAAACAATAAACAATGAAGATCCTGTAGAAGCTACACTTGAAATTTCTCTTAATAGTCGTACATTAACAATCTTATCAACAGCTTCTATACCACTAAAAAGAGCAGTGCATGATTCATTTGCTTCAATTATTCAAAGTACTGAACCAGAAGCTTATACCACTCTTGATGAAAATAATACTCAAGAATCACAATCGATTGCATTTATACAGGAACATAAAGTGCAAACAATCATACCTCGACACAGACAACAAGTACCTGCTGACGAAACTTTATATAACTGTTATAAAACACGATTAAACAGTAATGATTCATCTGTTGTTCAAAAACAAACATCACCAAAAGACATTGAATCTTCCAAATCGAAAAATCCTAAAAATAATCCTGAGATTGTTATACTTGATTAAACATTGATTTTGCTCATGAGAATTATTTCGCTGTCCATTCGATTTTTTGCGTCCTTATGTTCGTAATTTTTTTGTTTTGTATATTGGTTCTACAAGAAACACATAACAGTCAATGATCAGATTTTTTTTTAAATGTGCTTTAGTTTTGCGTCTTTTCTGTTACAGTCTGGATGTATATATTTTATTTTATTTTATTATAGAAAACAATATTCTAAGAACAAAAAATAATGGAATATGATCTTGTTTTTCTAAACGGTCGTGTTATCAATCCTGAAACAAATTTCGATGCTATACGATCTATCGGTATAATTGATGGATCAATTGTATCCATTAGTGACAAAACATTAAAGGGCAAAGTAGAGTTAGATATTTCGAATTTAATTATTTGTCCTGGTTTCATTGATGTTCATTCACATGAACATACTGATGAATATTATGCATTGAAGTGTCAAGATGGTGTTACGTCTGTATTTGAACTTGAAGTTGGAACAAATGATATTGATCAATGGTATGCTGAAAGAGAAAATAAAATTTTAATTAATTATGGAGTAGCTATTGGTCATATTCAAGTACGAATGAAAGTATTTAATCACCCACCTGGTTTTTTACCACAAAGTGATTCACAGGCAGCACTTCAAACAGATAAAATTGATGAGATAAAAAACGAAATTGAATATGGTCTTCGACGTGGTGCTATGGCAATAGGTTTTGGAATTCATTATGTCCCAGGAGCAACACGATGGGAAATTGTTGAATGTTTTCGTTTAGCAAAAAAATATGATGTTTGTTGTCATGTTCATATGCGTTATTTTGGTGCACAAGAAAAAAATGGTAGTTTAGCTGCTCTTCAAGAAGTACTCGCTCTCGGAGCATGCACAAAAGCTGCGATTAATGTTTGTCATTTACATAGTACTTGTTTAGCCGTGACTAATAAAGCACTTGAACTTTTACATGATTCACATAAAAATGGAATGGATATAACAACAGAATTTTGTGAGTAATATTTTCATTTCTGTATGGAAATCGAAATAGGAAATATGTATTATAGATCCTTATTTGGCTGGTTGTAGTACGATTGATTCAGCTCTATTTAATGATGATTTATGGCAAGAACAATTGGGTATTAGTTATGATGGTTTGACATATGTTAGTACAGGACAACGATTAGATGCAATTAGTTTTGCTAAATATCGAAAAGAAGGTGGACTAATTCTTATTAATTCAATACCAGAACAAGCAGTTATTGATTGTCTTCACAGTCCAATTACATTGATGGGCAGTGATGCCCTTCGTGGTCATCCACGTGCAGCTGGTTCTTGTGCTCGTGTTCTTGGCCATTATGTTCGTGAACGTGGTATAATAACATTAATGGAAGCAATTCGAAAAATGTCTCTATTACCAGCACAAAGATTAGAAAGCGCTTCATCACAAATGAAAACTAGAGGTCGTATTTGTGAGGGTGCTACAGCAGATTTATGTATATTTGATCCGATGACAATAAAAGATTGTGCAACCTATGAACAACCAAAACTTCCTTCACACGGAATAATACATGTACTTGTTAATGGAAGATTTGTTGTACGAGATCGAAGGTTAGTAACTATGGATAAGAATACAACACCACCAGGTCAAGCGATTCGTGGTGTTATTCGTGATTAAGTGCTTTTTGTTTTATATGATTTTTTTGACAAAATCAGATATTAATGTAATTATCAGTGAATCCAAGGCTATCAGTTTTCTAATACGAATCGTAATTTTTTTGTAATTGTTTTATTTTATGTTTCATATGTAGCAAAAAACATCTATTTTTTTCTCCAAGACATCTTTTGAGTATTATAAAATGAATAACAAATCGTTTATGTTGTTTATGAGGTCATTCAAGAATAATCTAACTTGTAATAAGTTTGAATGTTGAAAGCCAAAAGTATTTGTAAGAAAAGCATTAATTAATCGATGTCTGTGTGGTAACTAATGTCAAGGTTGAACAGAGTCATTCGCTATCAGCACATTAACACTCAAGTCTACATTTTCCTGAAGCAATTCACGAAAAACGTAGCACTTTCCTCAGAATAGTAATCGCCATTTTCTGATATTGAAAACAAATAATCTCGAATAAAGTTTTCGATACACCAATTCTCCTTCCTTTAAACATTTGCCACAGAAAGAAACAACAAAATACATCCAATCTGCTAATTAGAAAATCTGCATTCGGCTTGCTCATCCTTCAGGAGATAGTTCATGTATCTTGTTTGTGGTCTTCGGATCGTTCTCGAACAGATACAGAGTCAAAAACCCTCTGATGGCTCTCTTAGCCAAGACAAAATCACGATAATGGTTGCTAGACACCCACACCCTGGACGAGCTCTATCCATTGATGAAAACTCGCACGTCATACGATGCTTCGATGCTGAGTTATTACTGATTTCCAAGCTCTTCAAAATTCACCGATAACATATTTCTTGGATCGATTCACTTATGAAAGTGTTCCAACTAATCTAATATTCCAAGTGTAATTTGACAAGCTCTATCTAATGGTAAAATTCAGCACGTTATACAATGCTCCTATGCTGAGCTATTACCCATTTGCAAGCACATCAGGTGCGCCGGTGGCGTATTTCTTGGATCAACTAGCCTGTGAAAATCGGTAATAATTCAGCATAGAAACGTTGTATGACGTGCTGGATTTCACCATTGAATAGAGCTTGTCAAATTACATTTGGGATATACTTCAGATTAGTTGGAACACTTTTACAGGCGAGTTGGCTCAACCAATACAAGTTTGATGGGGCAGTTGGGCCCAGTATCATGATAGTATCTGGCGAACAGTCGAATCTATCGAGATGTAGTCTTCGTCATTGGATAGAACTGTTGGAGTTGCATTCGGAACTGAATTTAGATTTGTTGGAACATTCTGTGGGACGAATTGGCTCCGTTAATACGAATATATTTACAGTAGATCTCGCCACAGTGATGTGGCTTAGTATTGTGAGACTTATAGCTCGGTAATGGATGATGCTATTGAGATACAGTTTTCACTGTTGGTTAGAGCTTGTAAAATGGTATTTTGAACTGGAAGGGTTTTGTTAGAACAAGTTTCTAGACGAATCAGCCCAAGAATTACATTTTCCAGAATTTGTTGTAATGAAAGAGAAAATAGTCATTTTGTAATATGTCGGTTGTTATAATATGTATGTAGGAACGTTTTTCACCGTTCGATGCAGCTGATCAATTTCTACTCGGAACAGCATATAGCTTTGTTAGAACAGTTCCCTAGGCGAATCCACCCTAAAAATACTCGAATCTGGACCTAAGATATTCTACGTCGCCTTCATCCGTTACTCAATAGCTGTTCATATATACCGAATGGTCCAAAAGTCACTTTGATGAGAAAAAAAAACGGAATACCTCCGTTATGATTTGAGCGAATGGGCTAATGATGAAAGCATGCTTACATTCCATATTCATAAAAATAAGGCTCCAGAGGACCTTTTTTGAAGTACTGCCATTGACTTCAAAAGAATAGCTTAACTTTTTCATAGACAGAGAAAAATAGTGTATGATGAAGAGACGCCAATTTTATGAAGATAATACATAAATGTTCATTCATCTTTTTTCTGATCGAATACATGGCAAGATTCTTTATTAGTCTCAAAGAAAGTACACAAAAAAGCGAATAACACGCTGACGTAAATTTTCAAATTCTTTTCCTCGCTGTGCTTATACACATCCAACATTGATTGACTACAGAACGACAGATTACTTGGCAAAAGTCGATACTATTAATGGGCGATGAAAATTCTTGTCTAGATAAGGCGATCACGTGGTTTATAGTAGGAAGGCTATATATACAGATACACTCTTTTGCAACTCCCTCTAATGAGAATAGAAAAATAAGACGAAAAATGATAAGTGAATGAACGATGTGTATTAATTAGAAGAAATTTCCATTGTTTACATTTTATCTTGATAAATTGGGTCTTCTTAACAACAAATTGTTTTTCGTATCAGTGAAAAAGTGAAATTTTTTGTTGAGCTCAATAGTGGTATTGAACAAAAGCTCTTTCCAGTCTTGTCCGTATGAATTAAAAGTGTGAACCTGTCTCTATTAATAGTAAAATAATCAGTATTTTTGCTCGAGCCACAACAGAAACATTCAAGTTTTTCTCGGTAACGTGACTTTTGGGTCACCCTGTACTAAAAAATTAGCGCGTTTTCCTGTTGAAAAATTATAAAACAAAAATATTGTTCATGCTAAAGCAAATTAATTGATATTGTTTATTATAAGGTAGAGACAGATAGGAGAAAGACTTCATTAAAAACAATTATTTGTTTTTTTTTTCTTTTCACTATTTTCTTGATAGTATTAGTCATCATTTGCTTCGTCGTCTGTAGATTGAAATTGTTGATTATTTACTTTTTCTTCCACTTGTATACAACGCTCACCATTTATATTTACCCAATATTTTTTGAAACCTAACGGGTGTTTAGATCTTGCCATGTCATTTTCAATACGAAGTGCAATACGTGCTCGTTCTAAGTGCCTTTTGGTGGAGAAAAAAAAAGTAAAGTAATAAAAAAAAGAAACAATATAAATAAATAAAACAAACCATAATTGTTTGGCACTTTTTTTTACACTTGCGTATGTATCACCCATCATAGCAATCAGTAAGTTTAACAAAAGAATAGTAATAAGTACAATATAGAAGATAAGTAATATAACACTCGCCAATGGATATTCTCCTCCAATATAATAATCAAGGTCAAAATCACCCAATAAACCCAAAAAACATCGTTTGATACTTGTCATATAACCTTGCAAACCTAAAATATATCAAAGTCATTTATTCAGAATAATAATTTCATTATAAATAAAGTTTTCTAAGAATATTTTCCCTATGAATGAAGTATTCATCCTTTGAAAAATCTTACCATTTCCATTGAATAAAATAAAAAAAGATTGTGCAAAACCAGCTAGAAAAATTATATATATTATAAAAAAACGAAGAACATCATTGAATAACATTTTATAAATCATAATAACAAATGGACCAGTAAATTGAAATGGCATAATAAAAAAAAACATATAGCCCCATCCAACAAGAGAAGTAAAAGCAAGTATCTGAGTTTCATGTTGTTGCATTCCAAATAGACGAAGAATTTCGCCAGTAAAAGTACAAAAACAAAATGAACATGACAAAAACTTTTCAAGAAAAATAGATCCCTAAAACACTTATATAATCAATTAAATCTATAACAATCAATCACTTACTGTAATGTTCCAGTAATTCCAGAAACCCAACCTACGAATTTCGTTTATTTCATGTGCACTTCGCCATGCAGCACCTATTATTACAATGGTATGACCAACTGCATAGAGTGATTGATTAAAAACACTCAAATGTTTGTCGGTTGTTATTTCTGTTTTGTCATCGAGTTCATCTGCTGTCTAAATATATATATTTCATAGTTAAACAAATTTTTTGTTAAATTACTTTTTCTGATGTTGTTGGTCGTAAAATTGTTGTGGCAAGAAAAATCAGAAGATAGAGACATGTAACGAGAAATTGTTGAACAAGTATTCGATAAGCAAAAGATGTCCATTTTTTGTCAATTAAAGATATAATAATAGGGCTTATTAATTCAGTATCATTTTTTTTAATCATTATCTCAAGTACACTAAGAGGTTGTTCTTTACTCTTAAATAAAAATCCACTAGATCAAAATATTTTTATGAGTTTAACTCACATCTTGATGAAAATCCATATCAAGTTGATCGAGAGAATGTAATACACATGAAACATTACCATAAGACCATTGTATTCTTTTCCGTTCGTCTAGTAACCATGATAACATTTTAGCTTGACCTAAATCAGCTGCTAGAGTCAATGGTGTCAAACCATCTTTATTTAAACGATTCCATAGTTTTGGTGGTTCTGTTGATTTTAAGTCAGTTATTTCTTTGTCATTAAGAATAGTATGTTGTTCTATCCAACGAGCTTTGAATTTAGCATAAATTTCGGGTAAATTGCAAATAACAAGGGTATGCAGTATGGTATTACCATTACTGTCCATCTAGATATAAATATAAAGAAATCAAATGACAGTTTTACCATGTACTAAGCCGAGAAGTGCTGGCTAATTCGTGCACGAGAACATCGAAAATTTATAAAATATGGAAGTAACTTTTCAGTGAAATCCGAATGTTTCCAGAGCTCGAAATCATTGCCCTGAGTAGAAATGTCTCTTTTAAGATCTAAATAACAATCAGTAGTGTTCAATATCTAGACTAGGCAAATGCGGGACTGCGATCTTAGTTTAGAAGTATAGTAGAACGAAGGCCAGCACTATGAAAAAGAGAAGTTTTTGAAATCGAGATCCGCACCGCGCGAAAAAAATATGCCCCTATGAGAACTAAAGATTACAATTAAATAATTTATGATTTTAAACAAGTTGATTTATAGACACTACAAATAAATTCTGGAAAAAGTTTTGTCTAACTCGAAACTAAAACAAAGTTGGTGCCGAATATCTCTAGCTCAAAGATTTATTCTTCTTGACTTTGTACATGCAATATTTAATATTTTGTTCTTTACTAACCACATTCATGTCAGCACCATATTTGAGTAAGATTTCAACAATATCCCATTGATTGGTACAACATGCAAATCCTAATGGAGTTTCACCATAATAACATACTTCACCTCTATAAAATACACATATGAAGTAAAAGACAAACGAGAAATAAGTTACATGTTAAAGAAGCTACCGGTAGCTCTTGCTGCCAATAATTGTTGACGATAGGGCTCTAAATGATCATTACTAAGTAACCATTCAACCATAGTTGAATTCCGTTTAACAATTGCAATATGGAGAATATTCTCACCATAATATTTCTATAAAATTTATATGTATCATTCAAATACAAAAATCAATCTAATTATATTTACTAATTTATTATAAATTTGCGTTACGATGGTTGGAAATCGTAGAATAAGATCTCGAGCAATTTCCAAATATGTATCTGTTCCATCTAGAAATAGCAAATGAATAGGACACTCGCCAACAGCTCCTCTTTCATTAATAAGATCAGGATCAGCATCAATAAGATTATCCATTGCAATTTTGTCTGCATTAAATACGGCTCTCCATATCGTATTATTTTCATACATAAGTTCAGTTTGTTGTTTGACTTCAAAGTCATCTGAGGTAGCATTGTTATTTTGTAATGGGAGAATAATACTATCCATTATATTAGTGATTAAAAAATCAATAGCATTTGCCATTGTTGTTGTAAAATTTGGAAAATAAGTGTCGACAAAAGTCTCTTTTTCTGTGTCTTATGTTTAGTTATGCGCGACGCTAAATGTATTCTACTACATGTTACTTTTCAATTTTTGTTCGTGAGGTAAATACCTATAATACACGAATACATGTCAGTCTATGTATCATTCAGCGACGTTACAAAAAGACGTCTTTTTTTTTTTGTATTCTGTTTTTTTTCTAGCACTTTTACCTTACAAGTGTGTGACTGGTCATTCAAGCATGAAGTTGAAAAAGCATGCATATTATTGTTTATATTCATACGGATCATTTTGCTTGCTATAGGTCCAACCTTCTTTTTAATTACTATCTACATGTACGAATGCATGAGAATGACCTTGAACACTATTAATCTCTTCATTGTTTTAAATTCGTGTTAGTACATAGAAAACAATATCATTTCAAAAAAGTTTGATAATAACGTGAATTAGCATAAGTTAAGAGTCTTTGATCTTCGAGAGACATTGTCATTCTTTTACCGAAATGTTTTTTTTTTAAATTTTCTAATACTATTTGGTCTTTATTTAGAGATATAAAGATATGTATCATTGTATTATACTAATAGAGAAATATATGAATTAACAATAATGCCCATACTATGAAGTATTTGATTTCAGTCAGAATTTAGAATTTAAAAAAAGGCATTCGATTTCAAACTGAAACGAGGGCTATGGGAAGCTTTAGAATTATATACCTAAATATGTATGTATATGCTCCCATTTTTTGGGATGGGAGGACTAGAGTGACCTGGGTGAGGCTTTAGAATTATGTAGCTAGCGTGTGGTTGCAGGTATGGATGTGGGTGTAAGCGTGGGAATTGTCTTCTCTTCATCCACACCCATACCTTGTTACACAGTATCCATAAAAGAGAAACACGACATAAATATACACCCATCGACATATTATTGTTCAGTACCCTGAACCTCCATGTGTAACGAAAGAGGGGCATATACATACATATATAGCTACATAATTCTAAAGCCCTCTAGCCCTGTTTCAGTTTGAAATCGAATGTCTTTGTTTTATTCTAAACTCAGACTGAAATCAAATATCCCATAGTATGAGCGCATGTTCAGTCAACCATGAAACTTCAAAAAAGCGTGTATTTTCGGCAAATATTTATAGACTCACAATAATTTGCAAGACATTTTCCCAGTTAGTAAATCTCGTGTATGAACACGCAAAGGCATACGTTTAACAACGATATGTCTGAAATCACAATTTTTCCACTTCTTAAGTAAAATATGCCAGATTATACAAAATATAAGACACATGTAAACCTGGAAGTGATTCTGTATTGAAATAATAATTTCGGCTGTATTACTATGTACATGCTACTTCATGCAAGAGTTTCGTTTTCTTCAACGTAGATTCATTTATTTTTTGTTAAAATAGATCAATCTTCTATGTAATGGGACTATAATGACTCAGATATCCAATTCTTCTTTTTTTTTTAATTCTTCATAATTATTAGCATTTACGTACACTTGTACCTAATAGCCATTGGACCATCATAACATCCTTCAGTTTTGATTGCACTTATAATGTAAGTAAATAGTTAAATGACGAAGAAGTTGATCCAATAAAACCTGGTATCAAGGGGGGAAAAGCGAGACTTCACCGTACTTCACTTATACTTTCTCTGCACTCACTCGTACTTCACTTTAATTCCACTCGAATTTCACTGTACTTCAAGCACAATTTTGAAGTACGAGTGAAGTACAGAAGTCGCGCTTTTTCTTCTTGTCCGGTATGCATGTTCGAATCTTATTTCTGGAAAATACTACTATGAGTTCATGTGCGTTCACGCATAATTAATACATATACTTCATTTCTTGGTTATTCTAGAATTTCTTTACATGTACATGATGCTGGTTTTTGCGCACAGTTACATACGGTTTTGAAATTTTCCTGTTTCACGAAAAATCTTTTGATAAATAGTTTTTTACTCTACGTGTAAGATCAAAATAATTATTAACATTTCCTTTTGAAATATGAATTTTGCAAGTTTAAGGTCATTTTTTCAAAAATGCATTTTATATGTAACCGATCGTAGCTATTTATAGGTACTTGTTAATAATTGTTTCTTGACTGCAAGAACCATCATAAATTAATGGCTATAATTCTCAAAAACTGACATAAAATATTCAATCAATATCATGATTTTTTATCATATTCAACAAAAAATAAACATATCTATAGTAACTGGATATTACTAGCTTTTTTCAAATTTTCTACTGATTGTTGCAAACAGTCACTTAAGTCATTTGGTAATTTCTTTTTGAATCTGTCTGTTTTGACATTAATATCATTTGTATTAAACTTGGTTTTTTATCTTATATAGTAACTGAAGAATTATGGGTGGGTGTAGGCGTCTGGATATCGGGATGCTTCTCAACAACAACCACATCCATATCCCACCAAAACATACACCCCACCGACACCCATCCGTGGTCTTTTACTTTGTTTAAATTTGTTGACAGAGAGTTGTGAAATGGAGAATGCGAAAACATTTCAAATATTCAAATTGTGTTGATAAATTACTAGAAATACCGAATACGTGTTTAAGAAGAAAGCAGTAGGTTGATTCTTTTACTATATTTTTGACAAGAATATCAACTGTGGAAAATCTTCAATATATGTATCCTGATATTGTGTTTATTTGAATCCAATGACAGTTATTGATGTTTATAAAAGAAAATGTATCAATAGCTAATACTTTGCGCAACATGCTGCTCGAGAAGAGTTAACGAAGAAAGTTACTTGTAAAAGAATGCAACATATTTCAAATTTTGAAGAAATTTTAATGAATCATTTATTTCACATGACGATATCAGAAAAGTCATGAATGAAACATATATTAAAATAGAATGTTCATGTCTCGAATGTATCAAGAGTATAGATGAATCAGATAGACTTCCGTATGTGATGACAGTTTAGTCACGTCAGTGACTATTTGAAGAGGAACGGCTTGACTAAAATTCGATGACGTCCCATTTTTTAGGGCAATGCACGCTCCATCGTCATATACGACGCAAAACAATTTCATTTTCTTATCTATCTAGCTCTTTCTGAAAATTTCAAATTGTATTAATATCAGTAGTAGCGATGACAGTCGTTGTATAAATGACACAATGCTTTTCCATCATGCATCTTCTCTATTGGCAAAAAAAAAAACATTTTATTTAAAAAGATTCAACTTATTTAGTTTTTTCACACTTATCCATTTTGTAAATCATTTTGTTTTATAGATAGAGAAACACAATAAAAGTAACTAGCAAATTGATTGTTGAATGAGAACATACGAACTCTCGTGAACTAGATACTAATAGCAAAATATTCCCTCCGAGTTCAGAAGAAAATAAAATGAAATTTTATAGCGGAAAAATTATGAACATGCTTAAGAACGTATACAGCAGCTAGTATTCTAACTAGAAACAGTTACGTGAATAGATTTCGCACGTCACGCTTTTAACAAGGTTAAACATGAGAAAAAAGAAGAAAATCTGAATCAATCTGTAGGAAAGAAAATAAATGGATTAGAAAATAAAAAAAAAAGAAAGAATTGCTTCATTACTTGATAGAATAAATTGATTTGTTTATAATGAATAATCTTATTATTATAAGAGATCAACAATGAAACTATTTAGAAACTTATTTACCGAACGAAGAATATTTTTGAACAAAAGAACAAAAACAAATCAAATATACAAACAACAACATGTCGTATTATATTCCAATGAGATTCTGTCAAAATTAGCTATGAGTTCTTTAACAATAATGACCGACCTTTTAGGTTCGAATGATGTTAGACATATTTTTCTCTGACTTTTATTCTTGGCATATTTCTATTTGTTGAGAATCCAATGATTCAATTAGTTCTAGAAACTAAAACTCAAACAATACTCATCAAATTAAATAAAAATACGCCTGAAAGCAAGAATATAACTTAAAAGCTTACTTTTTTTGAATGAATTCTCCGCAAGCTGGAATGAAATTTCTACACAGCATCGAAAACAATTAATTATCTATCGCATTTGAAAATCTTCGATGATCTTTTTCGCATATATCTTCTTTTTTTTTAAATTCAGTCAAATTATTGAATAAATTCTTGTTTATATATCATGTTTTAGAATATTACTTTCCATGTGATTAAAACAAAGTTACTTTTGCCCATTTTTTCAAGTGGATTATTCTCATATTACAAGTGATAAATTTCAAGCACAAATTAATCCGAATCATGGCAACATTTAACAAATTATCTTCGAACATTGTAAATTTAAAAAGATTATGGCTCGTTAGATATCGTTGAATATATAATACAGTTCAGTTTTGCTCGAATTTCTTTTATTATTACACCAAACTAAGAATGGTGAAATAATATAGAATTATACCGCAGATAAATTTTGAAATCAAAATAAATTATATCACCTAAGTTATATACCTTTGTTACACTATGAACAACAAAAGTAAAAAGTTTACCGTAGTTCTAAGTAGATAAAGGATGAAAGGAAGAAGCGCATAAGAGCTCAAATCGGCCAATTAATACCTTTATTGTTGGTCAACCCATCAAATCAAATATCAACGACTAAAGCATGTTGAGACGACTCTTTTGGTACTACTTTCATGAGGTTCTGCGTTAGTGAGCAAAAAAGCTAATGAAGAGCTGGAACTTCGCTGGAGAAAAAACAAAAACCTATTGTAACTCAGCATCTTCCAAGATTTACTGTTTCAGAACCTTTGAAGATTTTTCTATAAACTTCCTTGTAAAATTTATTATCAAATGGAAGAGATACGGCTGTGGGTAAGTACTTAGCCCAAAGGTGAGGGTTGACTCATTCAAACTATGGTTCTCTTTTGGTACAGTTAAAGTGCAGCATATGCTATTAATGCATAAATCTATTGGATTAAATAAATCCCGATAGACCTCCATTATATTCACCTCGCAACAACATCGTCTGCATATTTTTATTTCACTCTCTGCTAGAGAAAAGCAAATTGTATTTCAAAAATCAGTTTCTGTCCAAAGTTTCCACGAAGCTGTAAAAAATTGGTAGAATGTCGAACGTTTCGGGAAGGAAAAAGCAATGATAGAGCCAAAACGGCTCAGACCCTTCCCTAGTCCGAATTTCTGACTCCACCACTAACTAGCAGAAACCCCCCGTCCTCTCCTCAGGATATCCCTGCGAGTCACTATCATTATGATATTTTTATTGCGAAACATAATAATTCACAAAAAGCAAGGTTAAAGAAATATTGGTATAACAAAGTAATTTCATTATATTGATCAAACATATTTTAAAAGTACAATATCGAAAAAAAGATGAGTAACATCTTCCAAATATGAAATTTCTTGAAAACGAGAAAATCAAGATTTCGATTGGTTAATTCTCATTGACCAATTAAATATAATTCTAAAACCTCTTTGTGTATGAATAAATGTCATACATATCGCTTTGATCAGTTCGTTTATCTCTTTGTTGGTAATAAACATCGTTTTTTTCTTGAAATTTGATTATTTTCATTAAAATAAAAAAACTCGAGAAAAAAAAACATATTTATTTTCTATTTTCAGTAGCAAATCTTATTAAACCAATAAATGAATTTAGATTTTTAAGAAACAAAAAATTTGATCAATTTTATTTCTTTAATTAACAAAAAACAAAAAAAACTTAATTTAAAATCGAAAAAATTTTTTTTCTATCATGCCTTTGGCTATTGATGTTGGCCAACGTGTACTTGTTTATAATCCTTCACATGGATGGACAACGGCATATTTTGTTCGAGCACAACAAGCAAATGATAATAAACTTCAAATATTAGTAAGAAAAATATGTTGAAAAAAGAAAAATCAATATTGTTTTTTCTTCTTAGACATGTCGATTATCAAATTGCCATCATAAACCAACATCACAAGATCATTATCGTTATCCACCAGAACGTGTTGCTTTAAATGATAATATAAATGATAATGTTAATGTTGGTACACGTGTACTTTGTATGCCAAGTGGTGATGCTGATACATCAAGATATATTGATAAACCATTACGTGGTATTATTGCTGAACAACCATCTAGTAATAATAATCAACGTTATTTAATATTTGCTGATAATGATGCACCATTTTATTTACGTTCAAATGCAATACGTTTATTACTTGAACCATTGTCAAATTATTTATCGAAAGTTGATTTAGGTACAAGACAATATATTGAAAATTATGTTTTAACATATCCAAAACGACGTCTTGTTGATATATCTGTTAAAGATCATATTAATATTGAATTAAATGGACAATGGATTGATGCAATTGTATCAAAAGTTGATGCTAGTCTTATGCGTGTATTTATGCCGATATTAAATAAACATGAATGGCTTTATCGTGGTTCATTACGTCTTCAACCATTATTTAATTCATTATCAACATATGAACCACCATGTAAACGTTTTGCATCCGATAAACAAATAATAGTTAATGATAATAAATGTCATTTTCTTTTAATGCCATTAAATCATGGTTGGAAACGTCAAATACGTAATGATCTTGGTACAATTGTATATGCATCACCATGTGGACAAATGTTTACTGATGGTGAACGTTTACATACATATTTATATCAAATAAATTCATCATTAACAATTCGACAATTTACATTTGATATGAATTGTCGTGTAACACAAAAATTTCTTTCACCAAATACAGCATATGTTAATCTTGAAGATTATGCACTAGGAAAAGAAAAAGTACCATTAATGCTTGTTAATGAAATCGATTCATCATTACCGAAACCATTTGAATATATTGCAGAACGAATACCATTAACATCAGATATTATTATTGACCAAAATAATATACATGGTTGTACATGTACAGATGGTTGTTTAGATACAACAAAATGTGCTTGTTGGCAAAAAACATATGATGCTATTATAAAATCACATTATTATGAAGATTTAATTCATTCATTGAAAGAATTATTTCGACAATCAATTGATGAGGATGATGATAGACATGATCATACCGATGATATGAGATTATTTCTTTATGATGCATTAGCCAGAAGAAATTTTGGTTATAAACATGGACGATTACTTGAAAAAATTCATTCAGGTATGTCGAAAAACAAATAATAAATGGTATTGTTGACAAATAACAATTATATAGAGGGTTACTTGTTCTGAAAATGTAGAGTCAAACGGTATTCAACAGTTAAAAATATTTTCTTGTGGATATATGATGAAGAATAAATATATGAGAATACTGTACGAATTATTAAGTTATTCACAAATAGAAGTGTAGACATTGGCTAAGAATAGAGATGCGTCTAAAAATATCATATTTTTTCTGTGTACTCTATTGGATAGAGCGAGAATTAGGAAAATTTTTTCTCAATCAGGATACAAGATACGAAAAAAGCTTATCCTGCACATTTCTAGATAAAAAGTCTTGTAAAAAATTTAATAGCTCAATAATTTCCCTACAATTGATACTAACAATAGTTCTAGATAGAAGCCCGATCTGACACAGAGTTCTTGCGCTCAACTACTTGATCTCCCAATTTACACTAAGTAATCACAAAAGCAGATGCCTGTCATGATATAGTCAGTATGATTTGTGAAGGATAATACAAGACAAATATCCGTTAGTAACTTGTTCAGGACCATTCCATGTTAAATGTACTAGGGTTTGAACACAGTAGCTTGTGAATGTGTGTCGATCAACTTAGCATTCAGCTATAGTGGCTTTTGATTGTCAACTACAGTATCATATTTCTTACCGATATATTAATTCGATTAGCAGAGATTTCCTTCAATTCAAAAACTAGAGAAAAAAAAATACAATTATAGATTCATCAAATTTAACAGTAGGTTTATCCAATTTGTGCACATATCATTCTTAATAATCATCGAATGTTCTTCATAGAAAAAAAATATCTTACACTGAATATCATATTCAATGAATTTTATTCTTCTAGGTATTTATGAATGTAATGGCAAATGTAAATGTGATTCACGTTGTACAAATCGATGTGTGCAATTTGGTTTAAATACTCTTTTACAAATCTATAATACGTCAGAAAAAGGTTGGGGCGTACGAACATTATACGATTTACCAGCTGGTACTTTTTTAAGTTTTTATGCTGGAGAAATACTTAATGATGAAGATGCTAATCGACGTGGTTTAGAAAAAACTATGGGTGATGTTTATTTTACTGCATTAGATTTTGTTACATCACTTAAACCAACATCTTCACAAAGAAAATTACGATCGATTTCTCAGAAAGGTACTAATCTTCATTGAATTTTTGAAATGTCATGTTTACTTCTATTTGATTTTAAGATCAATCTAACGAACAAACAGATTTCTATACTGACGATCATCAATTATTTTCTGATCAAGCATCACAAATACAACGTAATGAAAGTAAATTTTAATTAATATGAAAAATAAAAAGAACAATAAATTTTAATTAATTTTATATTTAGATAAGTATACATCTATTGAAGAAAAAAATTTTTCATTAGAAAACAATCAAGTATTTCCTGATTATCAACAAATAAATTATGATTCAGGTATATTTGTTATGGATGCTCATTTCAAAGGAAATGTATCAAGATTTTATAATCATTCATGTTCACCGAATGTTTTTGTTCAAAATGTATTTATTGAAACATGGGATGTACGATTTCCTTGGGTAGCTTTTTTTACAGCATCTAATATAAAAGCTGGTACCGAATTAGTATGGGATTATTCTTATGAAGTAAATTTTTGACATTTTGTTTTTTCAAACAAATATTTAATTATTTTATTTAAGGTTGATACAGTGGAAAATCGTGTGTTACATTGTCGTTGTGGTTCAGATGAATGTCGCCATCGATTACTTTAATTTTTTTTTGTTTTTGTTTTCTTTTATAGTTTTCTCTTCCATCGTGCTGATGTATTCTTGCTTGTCCATTTCTGGAAGAAACAATTCTTGTTGTCCTTTTTTTGTGTGAGATATTGTATAGAGAATGGATACAAAAAAAAAAAACAAAGAAACGTACGGAAAAAAATTGATAAACATATTCAGTGTTAACATAAAGTTTATAAGCAATATATTGTATATAAATTTAAAACATAACTTAAAACATTAAACATTAAAAAAACAGATTTTTTATTCAAGCATTGATTATGCAAACAATTGCTATATAAGTATAATTGTGTAACGAAAAAAGAAAGATTTTTATTGTTTTATGAAAATTAATAAATTAAATTCTATTAGAATTTTTTTAGAAAGTTATTTTATTGGTTTTTGATGAATAAGACTGAGAAATTTTTCATGTCTTTCGAGTTCAAGGATGATATCTTTATGAGACATTAGCAAAATGAGAAAATTACTTCTATTATCATTTATACAACTTGTTAAGTCAGAAACAGCAAAAAACAATCGTTCAATAACGATACGATAAATCACTTTTTTTCTCATTAACATGAATATGAAGACATTTGATATGTCATGACAAACTAACTTTTATTGTGATTGATCTCTTTTATCGGATGTGTGATGATGAAATTTTAGAAAAATTAATACATTCATATATGCAGATTCTCTTGTTTTTTGCAAAAATTATATGAAAAATAGTTTTAAATGTATCGTTGGGAGATCTATGAATATAAAAGATCGATCAATAGGTTGTTCATTGCATTTATTTACAAACAACAAATAAAATAATATAAATGAATAACTTGATTAGTTAGCCTATTTAAAATAGTTCTCCTAGAAGAATCTATTTCTAGTTTATTTATGGCATTTCAACATTACAAGACATTGATTGCAAGAACTATAAAATCTTCTATTTTAGCATAATCAAACATAAAAAATCTACTGTTTGTCGAGTCATAATGATTAATCAGAAAGAGATAACAGAAATGTCATTTTTGTACGCAATTCTAACCTATATAAACACAAAATTAGTGAGCAATATGACCTCCAACATAAAATATTCTGAATATAATTATATGTGTCACAATTTCCCTCATTGCACACTTTTTTTTTCTTTTTAATTTATTTCAAATAGATTCCTTTGTTTTATTTATGACTCAGTATATATTATCTGTTTAATTAAAAATCTACTTTCTCTTTATTTTTTTTGTGAACATAAAAAGACATAGAGTGACAACAATCTAGACTAATGTCATTAAATTTGAATGATTAGTTACTTTTCTCAATCAAAATAAATTGTTCGAATTTTTTCTTAAATGAAATAACATTCAGGTAAGTAAAATCTGTACGTTTAACAAGAAAGGAAGGAAAAAAAAACTTGTTAGTCAATAAAATAAATACACTTCATAAACAATTTATTACACAGTCAAATTAATTGCATATACTTTATTATTACTAAAATTACAAACGAGAATTATTTTATCGTTGCACAGTGACCTAAGGACACTTGAAAGTAGAAAATTTTCCGACAAGATTCAAAGTTTAATGAATGAATATGACAGGAACTAAAATAAAATTTTTTGTTAGATCAATAATGAGAGGAAAAAAAAATAAGAAAGGTATGTGTGAGTGAATTGTTGTCAATAGTAGAACAAAATGTTGACATGAAAAATTTTGATAATTCAAAAGAAGGCGCAAATATGAATGTAAGAAAAACAGAAAAAGAAAAAAAAACGAGAAGAAAAATAAAGTAAATTGTGAAAAAAAAGAATCAAAGTTCTCGATCATTTGACGTCCTGTTGTTGTTACCATTGTGTAGTGGAGTGCCGTAAAAAAACCGAGATATATTATGCCGGTTGCTTCATCAACAACAGGGAAAGTGCCATCGCCGGCAGTAGGTCGCCGCGCGTCGAGTGTCACTAAAGTGAGTCGATTAAAAAGAAAAATAAATCTGTATAAATATCTTAGAGTTTTCTTATTTGCCTGATTAAATTTATGTTTGTCTAAAAGGGAGCTTTACGATTGAGTCGATCACAAGCAACTCGTGCATCACAATCATTACGTGTTTCCAATGTTAGTCAGCAAACTAGTCCATTAGGACATGCTCAAAAATCAACTCAGCAAATGAATGATAATTTTCTTACACCTCCACGTCCACCGGATCCAACATTATTTATTCAAGCTGGTACATCTGGTGTTCGACATCTACTTCCAATACATTTAACGGATAATGATTGTAATGGTGGTGTATTTTCTCGTTCAATATCTCGTTTACGTTCTCGTACACCAACAACAGAATTATGTAATAATATTGAAATGATTCGTAATGTTTGTTTATCAATAAAAACATTGCAACATTTTGATGTAAGTGATAATCAATTGAGTGATTTACCAATAGATATTAGTTTACTTACTGATCTTGAAACATTAAATTGTTCACATAATCAATTAACTGATATGGATGATATATTTGAACAATTAAAACATCTTAAAGAACTTGATTTATCATTTAATCTTTTTAAATGCTTACCAAATGTTATTTATACATATAAATATTTAATAAGATTAAATTGTGAACATAATTTAACCAGAACAATTGATGTTGGTTTAGTAAATTTAAAACGTTTAAAATTTTTTGTTTTTGATCATAATCAATTAGAATCTCTTGATACAATTGATTTTGGACAAATGAAAAAGCTTGAATATGTTCATATAGCGCATAATCAATTAATTAAATTTCCACGTGGTCTTCATCAATTGCATCATTTAAAAAATGTTAATTTATCATACAATCGTTTAACATCATTTCCAATTGATCTTTTACTTGTTAATACACTTGATGTACTTAATCTTAGTCATAATTTAATAGCAAAATTACCTCCTATGCCAGTTGCTTATACACGTGCATCAATGATTTTTTCAATTGATTTATCATTTAATGAATTAACTAAATTTTATGATTATTTATTACTTATTGCACTTAAAATTGATGTATCAAATAATAAAATACGTATGATTTCAAATGATTTAGTTAAAAAATTAAATAATGATTTAATTACAAGTCGGGAACTTAAAATAAATAATAATCCTTTAATACAACCAGCTGTTCCATCAGAAATGCTTAATGAAAATAGTTCTAATACAATGAATGTACTTCGAATGATAAGAAATTGTTTTGATGAACAACAAATTGATGCTAATGTTCGACAAGGTTTCAAAATATGTATAACTGGTCCAAAGAAAAATGGAAAAACATCATTAGCAAACTGTTTAGAAGAATCTATGCCTATAACCATTGATGAAAATGATGAAGAAACACAAGAAAGAATTGTTCATGGTTAGTAAATTTAATGAATTAAACTAATTTTTTTCTTACATTCGTAATGTAACATGTACCGCGTAACTGTATCTACTATGTCATACAACCCAGTGTCTTAAATAGAGATGTTCGGGATCAAAGCAGATGATTGAAAAAATGCTAGTCGTTGACTAAATAAATCAAAATAAGAAGTATTGAAGATTTATTTTCGATGCAATAGGATTCAAATCGTGCATAATTTTGTCAGGGCCAGTACTGGAACCGAATCTTTACGAATGCTGTGATCTGTGTTATACGGAAAATTTTGTTTGCAACTATAAAACATTTACAATCTTTTATTAAAATCAATAAAAAATAAATAAGACAATTCATTATTTCAGGATTTAACTTCGGTGTATCTTATCAGAGAGATTATATATTCATTTCTAGCTATTGACTTTGAACTGATAACATCTATTTTGACTATTCGAATCAGTAAATTGGTTGTTGTTGTATAACACACCTTATTCCATCGTCACTATCATCTATTCACGAATTTTGTCCTTAGAAACGCATTCTTTCAATATATCATTCACGATGAGAACATCCTTTCACACAAAGGTTGAGTATTGACAAATTTACACTTATTTATACTTAGACTCGAATCTATGTTTCGAGTTGGGTCAAATACTCAACTAACGAGAGAACGCTACAAAGTGTCAACCGCTTTTGATTCGAGACTATGCGCATCATTTAAGTTCTAATGAGCTATGAGTACCCTAAAAGGAATTCGGATAAATAGCTTACTACTGTCCAGATACCGTATTGTTCAGCAGAATGCCATGGTCACCCTCCAGAGCATCAGGCAAGCTGAGTTTTGAATTTCGACTTGAAACTTTGTATAGGAACAGACCTTAGAGAGAATAGCTTATTGTGAAAGTTTCAGATTTTTCAATTGTACCTATGCGGAAATGCGAATATTGGAATTTGTCGTTGTATATAAGCGAAGTGAGAAAACATGCTTTTATCATAGCCGTATCTTAGAATAGAAGTAATCTGAAGAAATGAAAATTTTACAATAAACTATTCTCATTAAGATCTCTCTTAATGCTAAATTTCAAGTCGAAGCTCGAAAATGAGTTTTCCTAGGATTTCTGAGGGGAACCGCGATCTTTTGCTAAAAACTACCGTATTCTGGAAGTAATTACTTATTAGTTTGAATTCCTTTCAGAGTATTCATAGTTTATTAAAACTTATATAATTTATATAGTCCCGACTAAAAAGCAACTTGACACTTAAAAACGGCCTCTCGTACGCAATGAACTACAATTTAATCACTATCAGAGTACTTTGGATTGTCTTAACAAGCATGACACTTTATGTCATTCTTATAGTTCATCAATATCCACTTCGCTTAATGACAATTGTTGATCAATTATCAACGTCAAAACAACCTACATCAGCTCCATTGCCACCATTGTCAGTAACAAAAACTACGATTTCTTCAAGTGCCAAAATTGTTGAATTACCTAAAATACAACTTCAACGTTTCGAAATGGATTCACGCAAACGAAGAAATCCGTCAGCTCAACTACCTAAACAACATATATCAGTACCAAATCAACCTCAACCATCGTCTCCATCAGCATCGACAGCAACTCCACGACCTTTGGTACCAATAGAAGTGATTAAATTTCTTCCATTAACAATATTTGATTTTAATGGATCATCTGATTATTATGAACATATGTCACCATTTATTGATACCAGTGCTCTTCATCTTATTTGTATACATACAGCTGATTTTCATCAAACAACTCCTGCATCTATTGAAGATATATTCAATGGTAAATTTGATATATTATCATCTAATACAATAACACAATTATTTCAATTATTACAACTTCTATGTGAAAAGGCAACTAAAACACGTGCAATTATGATCTTACCTGTTGCTACATGTATTGATTTATATGATAAACGATCAAATGAAGATAAGTAAGTGTTTATTTATTTATCTTATTGAATACATATTGTCTTTTTAGAATTGAAGCTTTAGAAAAAATAAATAATTTCTTTAAATTTTATCTTCAATATCGTATTGATCGAATAAAACATGAAATGGATTCAATACATTCTCTTAATACAATTTCATCATCACTTTCAGATCGTCTTAAAACATATACGGCTTTACTTAATATTAATATTCAAATTGAACCATGTCAATCAATTAGTTCTTTAACATTTCAAGGTATTGATGAACTTAATCGAACAATTCAACGATGTGTATTAACTCAAAAACCTATATTTCCATATGTTGATCGAATATTACCAACATTATGGGCTGAAACAAATCAATATATTGAATCTTTAGCTGAATTCTTACCTGTTCCATATCTTCTATGGGAAAATTATACTGATCGAGTTATTAGTAAACATGGTCTTGCACATTTAATAAATGATATAACACTTTCATTACATGATGAAGGAAAAATTTTAATTTTAAATGAAATATCAACAACAGATCGTGTTGTTTTTCTTCGTCCATCATGGTTGACTGATCTTTTATATAATTTATTTCGTCATGATATATTAACAACATATCTTGATTATGAAAAAAATGAAATTTTTTCTTTAACTAATCTTTCGGAATCAAATTTTCAAACGTATAAAAAAGAATTTCTTCAATATGGTCTTTTACATTCCGATCTTCTTCGTTCATTATGGTTTGGTTTATTACATAAAAAAGAATATTTTTATCATTTATGGTTAACAATAATGCGATTTTTATTAATAGCTTATCCAAAAATGAGTAAAGGACAATTAAAACGTCTTGTTCATGTTCAAACACCTGATCCATTGTTGAAAAGTGAAAAAAAATCAGATCGATTAATTGATATAAAACAAAATCCTGATGTTCGAGAGGAAATTAAATTTGATTATGCTATTGTACCTTATTATTTACCATTAATTAATCAAAATGAACGACAAGATGAAATGAAACATTTTACGAATGGTTTAAAAAATATTATTATTGTTCGTTATTCAAGTCAATCATTACCACTTGGACTTTTTCATCGATTTTCTGTTTCAGCGATATTAAGATTAAATATAATTTATAAAAAACATTGGAATAATTTTATTTTAGGTGAACATGAAGAAAAGGATGTGAGGTATGCCAAAACAAATAGTTTTTTTTTAACAAAAACTTGAATTTATTTATATCATAAACTACGTAGATTTCTTATGGAAACAGATCATCGTACATATGTTATATGTCATTGTGGTACTAACATTGTTGAACAATCATTAGAAGAAATTTGGAATATACTTATGCCTATACTTAATCATTTTGAAATTATTTTAACAAATTTAGCTCCAAGTAAGTTAGTTATTTTATATAAACAAAATTGAATTTTTTTCTGTACAGGTAATCTATTTGATCGTTCTGTTCAATGTCCACATTGCAAAGAATTTTCATTTATGGTAATCATTGAATAATTTGATGTTTTGTAATCATTGAATTTTTCTAGGGTGAATGGACAACACCCAAAGAATTACAATGTATAAAAATGAAAGCATGTCTATTATGTGGTCAAAATGTAGATACAGCGCGTCTTGTACAACCTAATGAAAGTAAACGACGAAGTAAGTTTTTATTAAAAAAAGATAACATTATTATTTGTTAAAATGTTTTTATTCTTATTTTAGGTGAAGAACTTTTGAGACGAATTCGTGAGCGACATGCCAAAAATACCATCAAAGTGTCAGATGATGTACAACAAACAATTTCAACTGCAGCAGCAGCAACAACAACAACAACTACTACTACTACTACTCATTTATTAGTATCACCGGTGTGATATTTCTTCAGTTCTTTTTTTTTCATAACAATTCGATTTTGCAATCAAAGTTTTTAATCTCTATCTGAACTACTCGGTGTGTTTGTTGTACTTTTGAAATAAGGAATAAAAGAAAAAAAAAGAAATGATTACGTGTCTATGGTCAGTCTTTATATTATTAGTAGTCTCGTACTTTTCTTCTTTCTTTCTCATTCGATGTATATACAATCATAATACATGCGCTGGGTCAGTTATCGTCCATCGTTTGTGCGGTTGAATGAATGGTTGGTTCGTTCGTTCAATCTTTCATACTCGGACCTTTTTTCTTCTTTACGCATTGATGATGATGCTCGCCTTTCTTCTCGTCGACGTTAACGAAAAAGAAGTAAGAGAACAGAGAGTCATATCTGGTCATGAATGAACGCAATATCTCTACATTAATAGACATTCAACAGTCGTTGTAGTGTTGGTGGGAAGAGAAAAAAGCTTTTGTGTCTGTACATTACGCGAATAGAAAGAGAGCAAGAAATCAATCTTCATACTACGAAACCTCATGCCGCGTAATCAAAACTAGTGTGAACATTAAACACTCTTCACTCGTACAAATACAGCAAGCGTCTGTTTATCGCGAAAAAAAGTGAACAATGACAGTGTATGGTATTTATACAATAAATATTAAAGTATTATTCATATGTTTAATTATACTCGGTGAATTTTCGAATTTATCATTACAAAAAAGTGGATCTAGTTCTAAAACAGCAACAACTCGTTCACCTTCAAAAAAATCTACAGCAAAAAAAAAACAAAATGACGCATTAATTCCTCCTCCTGTTGTTGTTGAAGAACAAACATGTTATAATAAATCAAGTGGTGCTGCTATTCGTTGTTTACCTGAATTTGTTAATGCAGCATTTCGTCGTCCAGTTATAGCATCGAATACTTGTGGTGAACGTTGGAAAACTGATTCAACAAATACTGGTACAGAATATTGTATTCAAACAGGTCCACCACATAGTGGAATTTTCGGAGATTATTTATCGGGTAATGAACAAAAAAATTGTTTAGTATGTGATAGTCGTGATCCATCACGAGCTCATTCACCTAGTTATATGACTGATTTTAATCAACGAGAAAATCTTACATGGTGGCAAAGTGAAACAATGCTCGAAGGAATTAATTATCCAAATACAATCAATTTAACTCTTAATCTTGGTACAAATTTTTTTCATAATAAAAATATTTTTCTTCAAAAACAAATGAATTATTTCTCTTTTAGGAAAAACGTATGATGTTACTTATATTAAATTAACATTTCAATCACCTAAACCTGAAAGTTTTGTTATATATAAACGTACACATGAAAATAGTTCTTGGATACCATATCAATATTATAGTGCATCATGTATGCTAACATTTGGATTACCACCAAAGAAATATCCAGATTTTGATACAGAAGCTATTTGTTCAGAAGATTTTAGTGATTTAACACCATTACATGGATCAGAAGTAGCATTTGGTACACTGGATTGGCGTCCAGGTGCAGTTACATTTGAAATGCGTACTGATCTTCAAGTAAGTATAATTAATTATTCAATAAAATATTTTCTTAAATGAAAAGAAATTTTTTTTAAGGATTGGGTAACAGCATCTGAAATTCGTATACAACTTGTTCGAATGAATACATTTGGAGATGAAATGTTTGGTCAACCAGCTGTACTTCGAACATATTTCTATGCTATTTCAGATTTAGCTGTTGGTGGACGGTAAGACAAATAAATATGTATATATTGCATTCGTTAAGTATATCTTTTTTGTTTGTAGTTGTCATTGTAATGGTCATGCAAATAAATGTACAAAACAAGGTGGTGATCATAAAAATGAAACTCGATGTGAATGTGAACATAACACAATCGGTCGAGACTGTGATATGTGTCATTCAGCTTATAATGATGCCCCATGGCAACCAGCTGGAGTTAGTGATGCACATCCATGCAAAGGTTTATTGAATTTTCTTTTTTTTTTTTATTGTGTCTATGTTATATTATTTAGCTTGTGTTTGTAATGGTTTTGCTAAAAATTGTACATTCAATCGAGAACTTTATGAACGTACAGGTCATGGTAGTGTTTGTATTGACTGTGCTGGTAATCGTGGTGGACCGAATTGTGAACGATGTAAAGTCGGTTTCTATCGATTACCAGAAAGTGAAGGCGAATGTTTAGCATGTGGTTGTGATCCTATTGGTAAGTTTCTTTGTAGCTTTATAAGGTTAAATATTTATTATAAATAATGTAAAAAGGCTCGGAAAATGTTCAATGTGCAACTAATGGTCAATGTCGATGTAAACCGGGTGTAGTTGGTGATAAATGTGATCAATGTGCGCCTTATCATTATAATTTTGGATTGAATGGTTGCACGTATGTGATTTTATGTCTCGGTTTTTCTTTTCTTGTTAATTGCTCAGTATCTTATTTATATAGTCTATGTTCTTGTTATGAACCTGGTTCTTTACAACCACTTCAATGTAATTCGAAAACAGGTCAATGTAGCTGTAAAACATTTGCTGAAGGGCAAAATTGTGACAAGTAATAATTATTCTATTCATTATATTAATGGATGATTGGAAAGTTTTTAGACAAGATATTTATTCACTTTTGGTCAGCTAGAAAGTATCAAAAGCTATGAGTTAGGACTGGAGTTGTGTGGTGTTTTCGAATATGAGCTTAGAAATTTTGTCTCGCGAGGAAACATTTCAAATCGAACTAATAGTTTGAAATTTTCCTGGATTTTTAATCTCTGACAAGGTATTTGTGAAAAAACCGAATTACAGAATTTAAACTTTAAAGTTCGCCCATAAGTAAGTTTCGTCAGCATTATAATGCTTGAGAAATTTTAGCCCAAATGGACCTGTTCTTCGTGAGATATCGAATGTTGAAAACATTGGATTTTCGTGCCTTTTTCTGTCACGCATAATTGTTTTTGGATATTCAATATCTCAAGAAGAACACATCTTTTTTATGCTAGAATTTTCCTAGCATTCTAATGTCCACGGCACTTGTCCAAGTGCGAAATTTCACGTTGAAATTCCGTAGTTCTATCTTTTGCGACAATACTTTGCCAGAGAAAAAAAAAAATGTTCAGAAAAACTGTAATAACTTGGGAAGGACAACGCATCGAAAAGAACTCTTAAAGAAATGTTAAGTTCATATTCAAAAGGAACACAAAACTCTGGTTCTATCTCATAACTTTTGATATTTTCTAACGGATCAAAAGTAAAACAACATTTGATCTAACAACTTTCCAATCATTCATTATTGTATTCTTATGTTTTATGAATAGATGTCGACCGGGTTTCTTCAATTTGGATTCAATGAATCCGGATGGTTGTACAAAATGTTTTTGTTATGGTCATGCTTCGACATGTCAATCAACACCGAATTATTATTATAATCCAATAAAGTCTTCTTTTTCTCAAGGTATTAACTCAAATTTTCGAGCTTTGAATGATTTAATATAAAAAGAATTATCTTAGGTGTTGATGGATGGCGAGCAATAAATCAAACAGGACATGAAGCACCTCTTTATAGTGACACTGGTAGTTATATTTATGTTCAAGCATTACCTGGTCAAGATCTAACATTTGAAGCATCACGTAAAGATTTATTTTTGATTGTTAACCTATCTAAAATTATGAAATTCTTTTTAGCACGTTATTTGGGTGATCGTACTTTATCTTATAATCAATTTTTAACATTCATATTAATTTTACGTGCACCAGCTAATGTCAATCGTATGTACACACATGCTGATGTAGCTATTGAAGGTGCTAATGGAGCAAAAGTTGGTGTAGTTATTTACGGAGGAGTTCCACAAACAATTCCATCGGAAGAACCTCTAACATTTCGATTTAGGTAAAAACAATTTTAATAATGTTATATATGCAAATTTTCGTTGCGTTTATTTCTTTTTTTATTAAGATTAAATGAACAATCGTGGTCACCAACATTATCTTTTCTTGAATTTATGCGTCTTCTGTCAAATGTTACTGCTATTCGTATTCATGCTACATTTGGTGTTGATAATGCTGTTAGTTTTCTTGGTGAAATAACTCTTGGACATTCTACAACTTCAACTGGTCTTTTTCCAATTGGTAATGTTGAAACTTGTGCACCATGTCCTCAAGGTTATTATGGAGAACGTTGTGAATTTTGTGCGTTTGGTTATCGTCGACAACCTTCGTTTGGTGGTCCATTTGCTAGTTGTGTACCATGTCAATGTCATAATCATTCGTTATCGTGTGATGTTGAAACAGGCAAATGTGCATGTCAACATCATACAACAGGTGATAATTGTGAACGTTGTTTACCAGGATATTATGGTCAAGCACATCAAGGAACACCAGATGATTGTCAAAAATGTCCTTGTCCTGCTGGTGTTTCATGTACACAATTGCAATTACCACAAGGACATGTTGTTTGTTTGAATTGTCCAGCTGGATATACAGGTAAATTTGATATAAAAGAATAAAATTTTATCTCGATAGATTAATCTATTAAGGTGATCGATGTGAATATTGTGATGATGGATATTTTGGTGATCCAGAAGGTCTTATAACTGGTGTAAGAAGACCTTGTGAATTATGTAGTTGCAATGGAAATATTGATCCAAATACAATTGGTAATTGTAATACGTAAGTTTTGTCGTACATGTTTTTTTAAATTGTATTTCATCGATCTTATAGAACAACTGGACATTGTTTGCGTTGTACTCGTAATACATATGGTGTTTATTGTGAGAAATGTTTACCTGGTCATTGGGGTGATGCATTACTTGATATAAAATGTCATGGTAAATGATTGCCTCTTTGTTGTAGAATATGAATTAATATTAGTTTTATTTGATATATAGCTTGTAATTGTCATCCAAAAGGAACTCAACGTCATAGTGACAATTCTCTTCTTCAATGTAATTTACAAACAGGTCAATGTCCATGTAAATCAAATGTACAAGGACGTCAATGTGATATATGCGAAAATGGTTATTGGAATCTTAATTCAGATCGAGGTAAATTTATTTAAAATTAATTGAAATTAACGTTTAGTTTCTTTCGATAGGATGTGAAACTTGTAAATGTAATCCAATTGGAGCTTATAATATTTCATGTTCTGTTAATACTGGTCAATGTTTTTGTAAACCTGGTGTAACTGGTCTACATTGCGATCGTTGTTTACCTAATCATTATGGATTTTCAAGCGAAGGATGTTTACGTAAATGACTGAATTAACATTGTTTTCTTTGTTATTGAGATTTAATTTTAGCATGTAATTGTGATCAATATGGTTCACGTGATGTTCAATGTGATATTGTTACGGGTCAATGTCCTTGTAAAGAAAATTTTATGGGACAAATGTGTGACTTATGTGAAGAAAATAAATATCGAGATGGTTTTGAATGTCCAAGTATGAGAACAAAATTGAAGTTTTGTTTTTTCTTAAACTGTTTTCTTTTCATTACATTTAGATTGTCCATCATGTTATCGAGAAGTACAAAAACGTGTTAATCGTTACCGGCGAGATCTTAATCTACTTCAAAATGCTATTTTAACATTAAATTCATCTCAAACACTTAATTCATTACGTGAAGATAAACAATTAACAAGTGAACTTGATGCATTAACTAGTAATTTAAAGAATCTTAAAATCGATTTACAAAGTAAAGATCAAGATTTATTATAGTATATCCAAATAATATTATTAAATTTATTTAGGAGCAGGACTTGTCTTTCAAAATACATCTGGTTATGATCAACTAGATGCACAATTTAGATTAAATGTAACTGAATTTGAAGCACGTTATCGCAAATTGGAACGAGAATTACCAGAGTTTATTTCACAAAATGATCGAATTCGAGATATTCTTCAAAAATCTAATGATACTTCTCTAATTGATACAACATATCAATTAAGTATGATAATAATTCTTTAATTTTATTCTGTTTTTATAATCATATGATTTTAGCTCGAATTGAAAAATTATTATTAACTATCGCACCAATTAGTTATAAAAATGATAATAAACATGAATCTGCTATTAATAAAACATTAATTATGCAAACGCGCATTAATAATCTTCATGACACATTGAAAACATTACAAAAATCTTATGATGAGGCTTTAAATCAAAATCATCTAACTGAAATTTTTCTCAATACAAAATTAGGTAATTCTGAAACATTAGTTCGTGATCAACTAGAAAACAATATGAAACAAAGGTTTGTTAAAAAATTTCTCCTAAGAAAAAAACAAATAATAATAAAGATTTAAATATATATAGATTAGCATCACTTGATCTTCGTCGTCAAAAACTTTTAGAACAATCATTAAATCTTCTTCGTCGTGTTGAAGAAATGAAAATTGCAACAGCTGAATGGAAATCTAATTTAACTAGTTTATCTGTTGGTCAATCAGGTCTTACACTTGATTTATCAAATGAACTTCGAGAACGTGTGACAAAAATTTCTCAGGATGTTAAGAAATTTGAAGATGACATGAAAGTATTTGTTAAACAAATGTATGAATTACAAGATATGTCAAAAAATTTTGATCGAGAAATAAAAGCTCTTCAATTATCTGTTCAAGATGCTATTCGAGTATGTCATACAAATTTTAAGATGAGAATATGATGATTAGTTTTTTTCTTTCTCTTTAATTAGGAAACTCAAAATTTATTTGCTGAAGTTGATCAAACTGAAAATAAAGCTCGAGAAGCTATTGAAAAAACAACAATGATTGAACGAGATGTACAAAAAATTCGTGAAAACCTTCGCGGTATGTAAAAATCAATCGATCTAAAAATGAAAACAAATTTTTTTTTCTCGTTTTGTTTAGCATTTGTTCAAGATAAGGATACACAAAGTAAAGATGCTGAAACACAATATAATCGTCTTGACACAATGCAAAATCGTACAAATAATATAACACGACAATACTGGATATTAAATGATCAATATCGTTTACTTAATACAACAGTTTTTAATGCTATTGAAAATCATGAAAAACTTAAATTAGATTATAATAATAATGTAAGAAAATTATTTTATTTTTGTTAAAAAGAATTATTTTTTCTCAAGGATATGATTCAAAATTCCAATACAATTAAAGAACAAGTTGATGCGAAATTAATTCCATTAAAGACTAAAACAGATTCAATTAATAATCGATCATCAATTGCTCTTGATAATATAAAAGATATAAAATCTCAAGCTGATATTCATGTTCGTCGTATTGAAAAAGCTTCTGAAATTGGTAAAAATTTAACAAACGATATAAATTCAGCTCGTGATCAAGTTGGAAAATTACTTGAACAACTTAAATCATTACAATCATCATTAAGTATGAACAGAAAAAATAAAAAAATAAAACAAAACAGATTTTCAATTTTTTAACAATTTTTTTTTTCTCTTTAGATTATTCAACACAAATAAATATAACTCATTTAGATGAAGTTGAAATTGAATTTCAAAAACTTTCATTAGATAACATTTTTAGTGCTATTGATCAATTTTATTCAGGTGCTTATTTTATTAAAAATCAAACTGATCAATTTATTCTTCTTCATGATCAACTTGATTATCAAGTTAATAATCTACTTGATATAGCACAATCATTACCAACTGGTTGTTTTAAAACTGTATCTATTGAAAATAGTGATGGAACACCTGGAGAAAGATAAAATTTAAACTTTGTTTTTCTTTTTTTTTTTGTTATTGTATTAGATAATGTAGTGTAATATGATTTGCTTTTTGCTCTCTTGTCATTCATTCAGATTGACAATGTATAAACATACTGATGATAATATTAGCAATCATCCTTGAAACCACAGCATATGACGACAAGGATAACGGAAATTATTTTGAAGATCAAACAAAAAAAATTTTCTGCTATTTCTCGCCATTGCTAATCATAAGATAATATTTGTCGATTGTTTATTCTTCATTTTACCGTACGAAGATTAGTGTATTATATTAATCACATAGATAATATAGAGAAGTTCTTTATTCTATTAGTAACATATGTTACACTTGTCAAAGTCAACATTAATGCTAATCAGAAGTACTCTTAAAAAGACAGAATAAGAAGAAAAAAACGAGACACGTTCGATAAAATTACAGTTATTGAAGTTGACTAACATTTGGAATATATCATTGAAAGAAAAATAAAAAAAATATCAACTCATATAAAAGCCATCAAAAGAAAATGATTTCATCTGTTAAATTGTAAATTAATTTCGACAAATCGACATAGTGCATGACGTTAAGACGAAAAGAATAGTTAATTACAATCCATTACTGTATTCTCAATTGCCTAATATATCAATAACATCTATTATCAGGTTAGTACTTACATATAGTTTACTATGCTACGTTTTTATCAACATCCATGATAATTTTGATTGATGTTATCAGTAGAATTCATTTATACCTTTAGGCTATTACAGATACTTTTGTCTATCATATAACCTATGATGAAAAATTTATGCTATTATCTTTGTAATAAAAGAGAGCAAGGTGTTAAGATTTTTATCATTTGTCTCTTCTTGTCGGTAATAAATGATGGAGTAAACAACACTTACATGACAATATATATTACTGAAATCTTTTCATATACAATAAAAGTAATGGTATCGAATTTCATAAGGATTGCCACGGTATTAAAATACAAACTATTATAACTCTGGTCTGTGCTTATCTAAAATTCTATTTTGAAACCACAATTCTTATTAAACATGTTCAAGTAAGCCGTTTATGTGTAGAGAATGATTAGGTAAATGAAGTCTTTTGAAACTATTTATATCTTGATCATCTAATAAAATTGTGAGAGTTTCATTATTTCCTGTTTTACAAATCATTTGAGTAAGTTATTTAATAGAATGCTAATTTGTTGTTTGAATTAAATTAATGACTGTCAATCAATATCATATTTTCTTTATGTAATTGACATGGGAACAAAGTTGTCCACTCTCGTATTGTCATTCAAATTAACTCATTTGTAAAACATTGAAGAATACAGCTAACTTTAATAAGTTCTCTATTTGATGCTATCTCAAGTTTTTCTTTATTAAATTAGACAAGCATATTAAAAAAGATGACAAGGTACTTTTACATGACTGATTCCAATGATGATCTTTGCCAGATAAAATATTGTGCAGAGTGTATATAATAAAAAATTCGCTGATAGACAAAATTACAAATTACTTCTGACAAATAAGCGTAGATCCGGAAAAAACTCGATAAAGGTTTTTAATATTATTTGTTGTATGAGCCAAGAAAAAGTATGCGCGATTGAGTAGAAAATCAATGTGTCAGTCATTTTATTGCATGGAAAAAAAAAGATGAAAGAAACAAAAATAGATTTTGATTTTCTCAACAAATATGATTTTATATCAATCTTATTTTGTGATCTTGTCATAGATCTTTATCTATTCTGTCAAGAGACATATTTTGTATTTTAAGTTTTCTCATATAAGTATTTGCATATATTGCGAACATATAAATACACACAATCCAATAGTTAGCTTTTTTCCTGATGTTTTATTTCAATTATGAAGCTTGACAATCGCCCAGGCCATGTGCGAGTGACATTTAAGAATGTAACCAAGAAAAATGTTATGTACGCGACCTAGTCATTACTCATAATCATCTAGTCAACGAATATTCTGTACTTTAATTATTCATTCCTCTGATGCTTCCAAGCACGAAAAGAACAGAAAAATAATAATTTATATTCGAGCTCCTTCGTCTTCTTGACTTTCATTATTTTTTTTAATTGAAAACAACAATCAATGTATGACGAATATGAATAAGGTTTCTGGAATATTAATGTGGAAAGGTTGAAGAAATGAAAAATTAACAAATAATTGGATGGGTCTTGCTTGAGATATAAAACAACAACAAAGACAGTCTAGATAGAGAATGATGAAGAAGAAAGAACAAATACAATCTATAGATTTGTCAGAAAAAGGCTTATGGTTTTCCAAATTGCCGCAAAACTTTTTTTGTTTGTATTGAGACCTTGTGATACAGGCACAACAAGACGAATGCGTCAATTGCTCTGGGTATTACTATATCAAACGCTTGACATTATGGAAAAAAATGAAGGACACCGGATGATGATTATGTTGTGTATGTCTTACTATTGTTGATCTCCTAGTAACATAAGGCGAATATCTATATATATATATATTTATATTTATATTTATATATCTATATATATCTATTTATATATATCGAGAAAAAAACAGAAAAACGAGAACAAAGTGTAGATCATTTATTCAATGAGATCATGATGTAAGATAGGAAAAAAAAAGAATTTACATAAAGCATTTCTTTTTTCTATTCTTTGCTTATTTGATCGTTTACCGAACTACAACGTCAGTCAGTCAGCAAATATGATACAGGCATACACATGACAATCTGGCTTGTTCTTTAGTTATTGTCAGAATGTAAGTAGCCTTGACAAGTTTTGGCTAATTTCTTTATTCATCAGCGTTAGAATTCTTAGAAAAATACAGAAAACTCTAAATCGATATCAGATGGGACGAGACATATAATGGGAAGCACAAGAAAATTACTTTATGCTATTTCCTACAAATATTAGGCTATATAATCTTTCATAAATAATGAAATATAGATTAGTAATTGTTAATGAGAAATTTTCATCAACTATTTTATTAATAACATAGTAATTAGAAAAAAGGAAAGAAAAAAATACTATTCAAATTTATAATGCATCGTTTGATATTTTTTTTTTACAAATTATCTATCTAGAATGACATACTTGCGTATGTTTTTCTTTTTATAGAAGCTAAAAAAAACGAAGTTAGTACTATAGAATGAACCCATTTTAACAAAATGAATTTACCTTTTTTTTCCTATTATAATGAACTATCAAAACCAGCTTAACAAGTGTTTTAAACTCTCTTCAAAATACAATATTCTTTGACATTTTAAAAATATTTTCTAATATCTTTAACGTCAATGGAGGCTGCCGAATAGACTTGATTGTTGCCTAATAACACATATTATCTCCCTAATGTATGTAGATTATGAATAGGAAAACAAAGATACACATAATTCTTCTCTCGTTCTTCTCATATTACCACTCATAATCTTTCTCAAGACATTATCGTTTACAAGAATACTTGCGTATTTTAACGGTAATATGGAGAATAAAGAAACGTTATATCTATCGATGATTAAAGACCATGACTTTATGTGAGTATTTTGTTTTTCTAATTTTTTTCTATTAGAATGCGAAGTACAAAAGCAATGTTTTCTTTTCTTTGTATCGATTGGAATTGTTGTTAAAAAAGTCCCAAGTGGTCAATAACAATGTATTGGTTATTCTTTTTATAATCTTCTATTCTCTTGGGGTCATCATCGTCTATAGATCTTATGTCAAATTTAGAACTAAACAAAACAAGCTTTGCTGTATAATAGGGCTTTTTTTATATTTCTGTATGATCCTTATCAGTATACGAGTGTTCTTGAACTATCCATTCCTTAGTTTTTCAATGTTAATACACTTATGTCACATATGTCGACACGTTAATTACCCACCAATGTAATCCAAAAGAGTACCACAGAGACATTGGTCAAATCACAAGCTTAAGTGAATCTATTCAAAATAAATATGCGCACAAAGATATCATTTTGTGTCTTGCAAGTATTATTGTTGGGGTTTTTTAGTTGACAAATTGTCTATGTCTTTTAACATGACGTCAATATGTCGATGCAATGTTTCTTTTCTGTTTCTCAACTATATCGTTTTTGTCTATCATTATCTGTCATCACTAGCTGAGTTTTAAGCTTGAAACGTCAATCTTTTAGTTGATTGCGTGTATCGACATAGAAAAACATGAATGATAAGACATTTTGTTAATCGATACTACTGGAGTCAATGATACTTTATATGCATCAATAAGAGAAGGTGAAAGTTGACATTTTTTTTTTTTTCTTCTTTAGTATAAGTTGTATCCCGAGTTTACGAGAAAAAACATGTTTCTCAATTTTTTTCACCTACTTCTTTCTCTTACTCGGTTTTGTCGGCAGCTGATTCTACTAAAGCCATGTCATAATAACATAAAATGCGATTAAATTGCACCCATATGCGTAAGTATGATTTCATGAGAAAATGAAAAAAAAAACGACAAGAGAAATTACGGACATGCATAGACACAGTGGTTCCATCATACTAGATTATACCATGTTCAATAAGCTCATTGTATAGTATTGTTCATTCAATAATATGTGGTGCTATTGAGTATTCTTGATGTTTTTTTGTGTTAAATTTGGATTCATCATAGAAAATTAGTTATATTGTATTTAATTGATAAATAAAGTAACGAACGTGTATGCATCATCAAAAATCTGTTTATGATGTCGTTAATATTATTCGGTGAGTGGGTAATTAGTGGTGTTTTTATGCGACTAATCAACCAGTTTTCTTCATCCTCGGAGACACAAATGTGCCTTTCACTATACACTCCGATTTTCTTTTCATTTTCTTCTCGCCTACGTAGATGTTAAAAAGATCTTCTCAAACATAGTACCATACAGAACTTACGGCTAGGAATAGACGATTCCCGATGTTAAAATTGCTGAAGATTACTGACTTCAATAGGATTCTAACAAGGGTCAAACTGATTAATTAGTTACACAAAAGTTTATTTAA